AGGGGACTTTAGCCTCTTACACATTTTCTGGTGATGGTGGGGGTTGGAAGGAGGGGGGTTCTATTGACCTTGTTAAAGTCATTGATAGTAATGAATGACAAATATATCAGCTGTTCAGTTTTACACCCTGTCACTGAATATACATTAGTTATATATGTATACAATGCTGCCGTCAATATGCGTGCATGTATGCGTATGCATGCATAAGGAATATGCATGAGTGTCTAGTCAAATGAGGGTACGTCTACTTCCCACTATTGATGATACAGTCAACTTCCCACTCTTGATGATATGGTCAACTTCCCACTATCGGTGATACAGTCAACCTTCCGCTATTGATATGGTCAACTTCCACCTATTGATGGGATGGTCACCTTCCCTCGATGGGTGATATGTTCAACTTCCCACCATTGATGATATGGTCAACTTCCCACCATGGTGATATGGTTAATGGATTATGTGGTCAAATTCCCTTGATGGGTGATATGGGCAGCTTGCTACAATGAATGCTATGGTCATTTTTCGACCGTGATGATACGGTCAACTTTCCACGATGGCTCATATGGTCAACTTCCCTCCGTGGTAATATGGTTATCTTTCCACGATGGTTTATGTGGTAAACTTGTCATGTCATTTCCTTCTTTTCATTTTCGTTTGGGTCATAGTAGGAGCCTAGGTCAATAATTACTTTAATAGGTAGATACGAATATTGTCCATATTGCATGGCTGCCAGCTCAGGTGGGTGGTCAACCTCGTTAACTGTGACTCTATTTGTCTCTCTAATTTACGGAGACGCTCGAAGGTGGCATGCTGGAATCTGCAATTAATCGCATTTTGTTTCCTCTGAAATGATCTTGGCTCCTAGGTTGGCCCAGGTAAAACGAGTGCCATGTGATATCCTATGAAATAAAGGCGACTGGTGCTATTGACATCATCCACAGAGGGATGCTTGGTCTGACCAATATGAGCCTATCATTATATGCGCGATGCGCCAGAGAAATCTCTTCTTCTTTTTTCGCTGAAATAAGTTGTCTTTATTAGCAATTTTGTCTCTCGTGTAAATTTCACTGTCGTTGTTAGTTTATTCAGTGGTCCATAGAGTTTACGTTACACTGTTGTTCTTTTTGGCCAAAAGGTTTGCCTTAATTTGTCAAATTCGGTGCAGTCCTGGAGTACATGCTCTGCTGTCTGAGGCACATTTCCACAGGTGCACATGGCTGATAGCCTATCTTGAATTGTGTGTACATGTGGTTAGGTAATCGGCTGTGCCCTGTTCTGAGGCGAAGGATAATGGCTTGTTCTGATCTGTCAATATGCTGGGGCTGGTGGTTTCTTGATCGATTTAATAATTTTGTTCTTTTGGTGGTATGTGACTGGTACATCCGGCTAAACTTTTGTCGCACATTCCTCTGCCAGTTAATCAGCTTTCTTATTTCCAGGCACTCCACACTGAGACGGTATCCATTGCATTACGACTCTTCACTGAAGGCTGAGCTGTGTTAGCAGTGTTTGAAATTCTAGTAGTTTCCTAGACTGGAGTGCTTCAAATACGGATTTCGTATCTGTCAGCATACCACATGCTGTGAGCCCAGATTGGTATTTAGCAGTTTCTCTGTTGCTGTCTTGATAGCCTGAGTTTCTGCATCATAGTTTTGGCAGTACTTCCCAGTTGGTACGCTGGCCTTATCCCTAGTACCATCTGGGAATTCTATGTACACTCCAGCACCACCATTTCTAACTGCACTTTGTGCGGACCCATCTGCATAGACTCTGACCCATTGTACTTGTGAGTATTCTTCATTAATACAATTGATGGTGGCCATTCTGCGTTGTACACTATCTTACACTATCAAATATTCATTTCACATTTGTCTGGATTTGTACTGTTAATCTGCATTTTTCTGTCCATGGGGTTTGTTCTGGAATACTTATAAGTGGACAACCAATTTCTGGAAGGTCAGTAGTTTGTCTACATATTATTTTTGCTTGGTGTATAAGGCTGCTTCCTTTTAACCGTCCCAAGGCTAGGTTCTGAAAACTATTTTGCATGGGGTGATCTGGCATACTGAGGAACTTTTCAGCTTGTATGTGCAACTTTGTATCTCTGCGTCCTCTCAGTGTCTGTGTTTTCCCAGTTTTCTCTATTTCTAATATGGGGATTGATTTCATCCCTCCTGTAATGACTCTGAGCCCTTGATTTTGCACTTTGTCTAACTCCTTTAATGTGGTACTAGATGCTAAACACCATGCAGTTGTCCCATATTTCAATTGTGGTTTTATGCTCTGCTTGTATATTTCTTTGAGTATTTTCCCACTGGCTACCCATTTGGTTCCACTTAGTTTTCTTAGTATGACTGTCTTCCTCGTGGCTTTGGTTGCTGCCTTGTTGATATGTTTTCTCCATGTCAACCTGTCATCAAATGTGACTCCGAGGTACATGGGCTCTTCATCATCTCTTAGGGGTATTCCGTTTATTTAGTCGATTCCTGCTTTTTGCTTTATGATAGAGAGTGAAGAGTGTGTCTGTGTTGATGCTGACACACGATCCATTCGCCCATGCCTCAAGTATATATAGCCCCCTATAGAGTTCTTGTGGCTATCGTTGCATGTTCATTGGTGCACCACAGTACTAGGTTGTCGGCATACATTGCCATTTTAATTCCATTTGGTATCTCAGCAACCAGATCGTTGATTAATGAGAGGAAAAGTGTGGGCGACAGGAAACCACCTTTTTACTTTTAAAACTATCTACCTGTACCCGGGTTCTTCTGTTATGTAGATATGCTTTAATCAAATTGTACATTCTTCCATTTACTTTAGTTTCTAAATTTCTTCAAAAGCCCCTCCTTCCAAACCTTGTACCAGTTTCTTATATTTAAAAGCATCCTCGATTTCTTGGGAGAGATATGTTGTCCGGTCTTCCGTAGAGTAGAACTTTCTAAAGCCCGCCTGCTGTGGTGTAATGATGTTTTCACTTTCAATGTACCACTGTAGTCTGAGGTTGATGATGAGCTTCATTGTTTTGCAGAGACAGCTTGTGAGGCTGATCGGTCTGTAGTTGGCGGCATTAAGACTATCTTTTCTAGGTTTATGAGGGGTATCATAATTGCCTCTCTCCAGATCTGTGGAACATTTCCTGTTGCCCAGCAAGCATTAAATATCTGTAAAAGATTTGTTTTGGCTACTGTTCCTATTTTTTTTTAATCATTTCGTTAGATACACCATCTGCTCCTGGTGACTTCCGCATTTTCAGCTTCGAAATGGCCAACACCAGTTCATTAAGTGTAATTGGCACCTCTAGCGCCTTTGATGTCATTTCTTTCTGACTTCTAAATTAGGTCTTTTCTGGAATTTCGTGTTTTTTCTCTGAACTGATATCAATGTCGTTATCTAAAGCAAAAGTGTCTGCAAACAGGTTGGCTGTCTCTTCCTGTGATCATGTTTCCATCTTTTTGCTGCAGTATCTTTGAGTTCCATCCTGTGTCCTCATCATTAATTTGTTTTACAAGCTTCCATAACTTTCTTGTGTCTTTTTCAAAGTTAAGCGACCTTGTTATCTCCTGCCAGCTTTCCCATCTAACTTGCAGCTTTAGCCATACAAATTTTGCTTTTGCATGCTGGTAGTTATTGTGATATTCTTGGTTTGGCGGCCTGGTCTCTGCTTTCTTTCTAGATGTTTCCACTTCGTTATGTAAATTTTCTAGTCCACTATTCCAGTATGGCCAATAATGCTTACGGGCACCTCTTGGTATTGATTCTCCTGCTAACTGTAGTACGCATTTTTTAATTTCTTTAACTACTTTGTTTATAACCTGGTCTACGCTGAGATTGTCAATCAGTATACTGGTACGGTGCTTGAACATTGTCCAGTCAGCTTACCTATAGTTTCACCTTGGTAGTGTACTAGTTTCTCTGACCTTCTCAATTTCTACATTCAGGAAGACTGGTCGATGGCCACTGCCTTCCAGTTGTTTTCCAACAACTCGTGTAATGTTACATTCCAGATCTGGAGAGTGAAATGCTAGGTCTGAGGTGCCACTAACATGAAACGGGTCCTTTACTGGCTAGTAATGCATCACCGTGTAGTTGTTCTTACAGCCAAGCGCTGTCGTTACTGATTCAGTTATTACATTCACGTTTTCAAGAGTGGAAGACTAGTCGACATGAAAATTTTTTTTATAGGGCAGTGAACTAATGAGAAACCGACTCACGTGTAACAAATTATGTCTTTTTAATTACTATTTTACATGCAAAGTATATATAGTAGTGTAAAAGACCCTTTTCCACGCCTTTAGGAGTAAATGGCATATAGGGCTAGACCTATATTTTAGAGACCGATCGGCACATGATGGGTTATGTGGTGAGCATCATACCGGCCGCCTTTACTTCCCGGGACTGCACCTGGTAGCCATTCTAGGCTGAGTCTACCTGGGAGCTAAGGTCATTTTTGAAAAAAGTCCAGCTCCGCCAGGGAGCTAACCCACGACCTTCCGATTGGCGGCGAGCGTCTAACTGCTCAGCCCCTGCGACTCCCGCAGAGAATTTTTTTTTAAAAATTAAATAGCATGTTGCTTAAAAACAGATAACGACACGTTCCCCCTCCCCCCCCCCCCCTCTTTACCTTGGTAATGGGCATTATGCTAATGGACACGACGGCTCCCTGTAAAATATATACTGTGTTGTTTATTGTTCTTAGTATATTCTAGTGTAGTTGATTTCTAAGTTCTGTAGCCTTATTTCCAAGACCACAATTAATTCGTTTACTTCAAAACGTATTAAATTAAGTGTATATATAATCTGTAAGCTGGTCATGTTGAGTCTTTATATCGTATTCTCAGGGCGCTTTATAGTTTCGGAATGAACGGTCATTAATAATAATATATACACAGAATCATACACACACGTACACAGACAACATGCGCTTTCTGTCTTTCTCTCTGGTACAGTCACTAACATATGCAGATTGACAAGCGTACATAGATTGATTTGAAGAAGCTTACGTTAGGGGTTAGAATTCCTGCTATCAACGGAGCCACCATGCCAGGTATAGTTGCTGCAGTGTTGGTGATGCCAAACAACACCCCAGCGTAACTGTGTATTAGAAATGTGGCATGTGGATACATATTGTTTACATTTTACAGACATGTATGCTTGTGTATTCCTGGGGTGGGCTTGCCTGCTTTGACAGTGGTCCATGTTCATTTCCCACCAGTGGCAGGATTATCTTCCCAATAGCACGGCTCTAATGCTTACTCGGCCTCATGACGTTAACCTTTAGATATCATCACATGGAGCGTTAGACATAATTACATTGAGGGTTAGACGTCATCACATTAAGGGTTAGACATCATCACACTGAGGGTTAGACATCATCACATTGAGGGTTAGCCATCATCACATTGAGTGTTATCATCACACCGAGTGTTAGACATAATCACACTGAGTGTTAGACATCATCACATTGAGGGTTAGACATCATCACATGAGGTTTAGACATAATCACATTAAGGGTTAGACATAATCACATTGGGGGTTAGACATCATCACACCGAGTGTTAGACATCATCACACTGAGCGTTAGACATCATCACATTGAAGGTTAGCCATAATCACATTGAGTGTTAGACATCATCACACCGTGTGTTAGACATAATCACACCGAGTGTTAGACACCATCACACCGAGTGTTAGATATAATCACATTGAGGGTTAGACATCATCACCTTGAGTATGCATCATTGTATTGAGTGCTGGACATCATGACGTTGAGTGTTAGACATCATCACACCGAGTGTTAGACATCATCACACCGAGTGTTAGACATAATCAAATTGAGGGTTAGACATCATCACACTGAGTATGCATCATTGTATTTATAGCTGGATATCATGACGTTGAGTGTTAGACATCATCACACCGAGTGTTAGACATAATCACACCGAGTGTTAGACATAATCACATTGAGTATTAGACATTATTGCGTTAAGCGTCAGACATTATCAGTTGAGTATTAGACATCATACACTAAGTGTCAGACATCATCACACTGAGTATGCATCATTGTATTGAGTGCTGGACATCATGACATTGATTGTTCGACGTCATCACCTTGTTAGACTTCATCACACTGAGTATTAGACATCATTAAGACCATCTAAGGCCTTAAATACATACATTGTAAAGTCTTTGATTAGATCCTCAAAACTGTTCTTATGTAACACAAAGCTTCTATACTAAACAAACGACCAGGTATCCAACCTGCTTTATTGCATCATAGTTGTTATGATAAGAAGTTAAAATATACTTCGGCTGAGAAAATGAACGCTCAGCTAAACATTTTGTGACCCTTAATGTTAAAAAATATACGAATATACTAACATGTCTAGTCGTTATAAATGGATGCAGCAAAATATTGTAGAAACAATTGGATACAGCAACATATTGTAGAAATAACTGGATGCAGCAACATATTGTAGAAACATTGGGATACAGCAACATTTTGTAGAAACAACTGGATACAGCAGCATATTGTAGAAAAAACTGGATGCAGCAACAGATTGTAGAAACAACTGGATACAGCAACATTTTGTAGAAACAACTGGATGCAGCAGCATATTGTAGAAACAAATGGATACAGCAACATTTTGTAGAAACAACTGGATACAGCAACATATTGTAGAAACAAATGGATACAGCAACATTTTGTAGAAACAACTGGATGCAGCAACATATTGTAGAAACAAATGGATACAGCAACATTTTGTAGAAACAACTGGATATTGCAACATTTTGTAGACAAATTGATACAGCAAAATTTTAAGAACGCAACTGGATAAGCAACATATTGTGGAAACAACTGAATACAGCTACATATTGTAGAAACAACTGGATACAACAACATTTTGTAGAAACACCTGGATACAGTTAAATATTGTAGAAACAACTGGATACAGCAACAATTTGTAGAAACAACTGGATACAGCAACATATTGTAGAAACAACTGAATACAGCAACTTATTGTAGAAACAACTAAATGTAGCAACATATTGTAGAAACAACTAAATGCAGCAACATAATGTAGAAACAACTAGATCATCATCATTTATCAGGTGCATTGCCGACTGGCGTTGGCGATCATGCCTCTCCACAATCTGCGATCATCTGCAGCATGTATCAGTTCATGTGCTGACAGACCTCCATGCCATGCAACAAGACTGTCAAGAATCTTCTCTTACTGTCTTTCCCTATCCCTCATTCCACAGATCTTTTCAGTGGTCACAAGATGTTCCATTTTCGCTTCTCTAATAACATGGCCGAAAAATTATGACTGCCTTCTTCTGATGTCTGTGATTAGTTTTCTTTAAGCTTCCGCTTCTTGCAAAACTTCATGGTTGCTTTGTGTGTGTGTGTGTGTGTGTGTGTGTGTGTGTGTGTGTGTGTGTGTGTGTGTGTTTGTGTGTGTGGCTGTCCAAAGTATTTTAAGCATTCGTCTGTAAAACTACATCTTTGAGGCTTCAAGAAATTGTTAGGCCCACCTAGGATGCACAGCCATATGTTAAAAATGGATGTGTGTAGCATGCAATATTTATTTTCCTAACTCTCAATGACAAGGATATATTGCCTAAGATGTTCTTCACTTAATAAAATGCAGTTTTTATCTTGTCCTGTTTCTTATCTCAGTAATGCATCTTCCATCCGAAGAAAAAAAAAAGAGTTTTTTTTTTTTTTTTCAATTAATATACAGCAGAATGAAACAACAACATTCACTAACAAGTGGCTGTCAATATCTGATTCATGCTTAACCAGTGAACTTTTAACTTCGAGCTGCATCAGAGAGATGGCGAAACGGGAAATATAAAATGGTGTGGGAGAAGCCCAGTGACGTCACAAGGGATTCCCAAGCGGGACGGGTCAAAAAGTACTAGTGTCAGGTAAAAGATAATCAGGGATAAATCTTGGGAGATACGGTGTATGAGCCAGGCGAGAAACGTATGCTTGTTGAGAATTTCGTGGAGAGAAAAAGAATTAGTCAACATGAGATAGCAAAAGAAGGCGCACTGTGTGGGACAGCGATTATGAGCGGACGTCTGAGCCATGTAATTGTTTTGTGCAAAACTGAGGAGCGGAAAGCGGCGACGAATATTGAACAGACGAGTAAAATGGCAGCAGTTAGAAAGGAATGAAATGAAATGAATCGTTCGTGAGATACCAAGAACGACTGACTGCTGCGAATAATAGATCCAATATTAAATAAGGTAATGCAATCCACAAGCAGCCTTAAGTAAAATTGCGAAGTACTGGGAGTAATCAAGCTACACACAAAGCAACGAAACAAGATAGACTAGTCAATCAAGTCAGAAGTACATTGAGGAATAAAATAATCTCAGATTCACTGTTATTATTATTTATTGCATTGATTATTAGTACTAGTATTTATATGAATTGTTAAAGGATTAATATATATTTTTTTTTGGGTCGGTGCGGTTTTTTTTTTTTTTGGGGGGGGGGGGGGGGGGTACAATTACATGCAATTCTAAGCGTATTTTGGTGAAATTATTCACTATTTCTGATCATTATCCTCATTCCCCTGTACTTTTATATTATGCATATTTTTTTCTTATTAAAATTTTTTTTTAACAAGACTGTTACTAAGCTTGGGTTATGGTTCAAGAACTTAATTACTGAGTTCTGTCCATTCTATTAATTCATACTCACTCCTTTCTGAGGCGTTATACTCTACAATAATTGGAATAAAATTGTAAGAAGATAGTGAGACTTTACACTGTGATTATTTATAGAAAATTTAAAACGAGTATGTACGGTTTCATTTTCAGTGCAAAGACAATATTATTGTTGTTTCCTGGCTAAAAGCTGAACATTGAATTAGGTCACTGGTGAGTATAAAAAGGGGAGAACTTCCGAGAATTAATAATTACAGCAGGGCTAAGTGAACTTTGTAAAGAAAATTAACAATTGAGAGTTGTACGAATACATTTATTGTGTGCATTTCAACACAGGTATTTTGAAAAATATTTTAGTTTTCACAATACAGTTTTAAACAAGATTTCAACAGGCATCATACAATTCTGGAAAATAATTATCAGGGCATTTCAAATTGTTTGAATTCCTTAGAAATATTTTTTTTTGACTTTATAACACAAGTCAACAAATGTAAACTATTTTTATTATTGTTGGGAAAATATTTTTTCCCAACAACTTTTATTCAGATAAATGATAAACTAAAGCAGTTATAAATTTTAAAAGGATTAATCAATTAAATAGGTATACATGTAAAGTATAATATTTAATCATCTTGATAAATGGGGTGGTTGAAATTTTTTGACATTCGTAGTTAATAATAGTTTCCCAAATAGACAGAGAACTTTGTTTGATGTGTTAATTCATGAATCACCTCTTAAGGGTTTAAATTTGTTCGTTATTCCATTGAATTCTTTCCACACTAAGTAATAAGGAGTTACAAGGAGCATACATTTTGTAATTTTGTAAATTTCTTGGTGACTGAACAATATTATACCCAGATTTACAATGTCGAATTTAGTGCAATGGATGTTCACTGACATGGAACTCAGATATCAAGGCGAGAATCTGCGAAAGTATGTAAATCAAAAGCATAAGCAATGTTTGTTTAGGAAGGAAAGAATCTGAAGATGGAGTTAGCAAGGAAAAAGAGAGAGAGATAGGGTGGGGGGGGGGGACGAAATCAGAAAAGAAGCAGAGTTAATAAATAAGTATTTGCAACAACTAATGGATTAAAAACATAAACAGTTGCAACAACAAATAGGGGAAAAGTTCCAAAAAGAAAGTGAGAAAATAGCGGTATACTTCCAGTTTGAGAAGGAGAAAGCAGAAGCACAGATAAGAATAAACCTGATAGAGATTGATTCAAGAATAGAGGAAGCCATCGAAAAAGAAAGAATTGAGTCAGGGAAAAAATACAATGGTTCAGTTAAACATTACAATGAAATTGAAAACATTGCGGCCTGGATATATAATTTTGAGCTTGAGATGCCTATGCATAAATTCCCCCATCATGACTAGGCATTGATCTTCCAAACACATGTAGCTTTCGAACCGGTACACATTATAGAATCGATCCATGAATTTAAAAGATCAGATTCTGATTACATTAAGAAAAGGATCATAAAACAGGTTACCGTAAACAGTACCTGGATTTAAAACTAAAAATAGTCAGTCATCTAGGGAATGTTCAACTCAAGTACAGAAAACTTAATCAAACATGGGTCAAAGCTGTAAACATAAAGAATATTTATAGACTGCTAGTAGACCTACTCTTGCGAAGTAAGATGTTAGTCATTCCCAGAAGCAATTTCAACATTTCTTAGGGAAAACAAACCTGTGAATTTCAACCAACTCAAACAGATTAGAGAAAACTATTTTGTTGCACATCATGATATTTTTATTAACCCAAATTCTGTAATTGGTTAAGAGCGGCATCCTACACTAGATCCTAACAACAAAAAGCATAATGCAAGGACCGCAACTATTTAAAAAAAATGTAATAATAAATTGAAATATTGTAATATGAGGTACGGGAATGATTCCATCTGCGATCGGAACCCAGAATACGAAAAAAAAAAACAATCAACTGATTACCCGGCAATAAAATAAGCTGAAGAGGTACAACAACGCTTTTAAAGGCTTCTGGTGTAACAGTTATGTACGATCCCAGTGCAAGTTTCAAGGACAATCTAAAGATGCCTAGGTGGCAAATAAAATATCTGACGATAAATCATACACTGGGCCAGCTTAAAGTTGAAAAAGGGCTAATCCACATGTGAACAACATCTGTCCTCAGAGAAACAGGTGTACAGTTTTTAGAATACACCAAATACTAGTTGAGCACGAAGAAATAACAGATAAATATTCAGTTGTTGTACATTTGGTGGGAACTTGGAACAAAATAGAATTGCACATTTTTTAGAGAAAAATTTTACATAGACAAAGTTATACGTATAGCACTGTTATCAGCTCCACGTGTTGAATTAATATTAGGCAATAAAGAGCACTGAAATGATGTAACAGAAAAGTACATTGTCAGGTGGGAAGTTGAAAACATTTCAGTTATTAGTGAGAAGAGAGTATGAAATATAGCCCTCACAAATATCAGAAGGTTAGGATTAGGTGACGTGTTACATAGAATCAGTATTCTACCCAGGGTTTATGTAAAATGTAGTTTTAGCAAAGTCTTTGGTGTCTTAGTTTCTGGAAATATTCACCTGTGTCTGGAGATCATCAATCAACAATTGGTGCAAAGATGGAGTGCCTTACCTTGGAGCTAAATCCAAATGATTGACGTTATAGCCAGCCCGGTTGAAGCTCATGAAGATGGTACACGAACACAGCAGAGCCACCGCCAACTGTCGCATCTCACAGTTCATTAGTCCAACACAAGCAATACACACGGCAGTCCCTACGAAAGCTGTAGAATTGATTGTAAACACTCATTGTCTGTTATAGAAGGAATGCGTAGTACCTCTGTCTGTCTGTATGTCTGTTTTTGTGTGTCTGTAACTTATTCAGTATTTTATTGTCGATTTCTTTTTGTGATTGATGGTTTCTTGTGTCAGTCGCTACAGTCACGCACCCGTCATCTCCCGTTTCCTACCTTCTACAAAAACAAGCACAAAGAACAGATAACTTACAGAAACACTGGAAAGACTTGCGAACACTTTTAGTGGTCAAGAAACCTCGTTCGAGCAACAAATCCGCCATATAACCGACCCCTAAAGAGGCCACGAACTGACATAAGTAGGGCAGTGCTGACAGCGCTCCATTCTACGGAGATGAGAACAGTTATGAATTATGCTAATAATTGGTAGCACTCTATTAGCAACAATGAATAAACTCAAAATATAATGGGAAACTTGAGAAACAGAAAGATACAAGCGAATTTTACAAATAAAGTCTTAAACTATGGAGCAGAGGAAAAAAAGAGAAAAATAACAAGAATAATAAAATCAACACGTAGCTATACAACTTACATTTCACATTCTCTATCAAACTTGGTAATTTACTGCAGGATTCCTGTCGAAAATAGCCATTTGCTGAAGACTGCAGATATTTCACAACGGCACTATGGTCTCTCACAAAGGAGACCACAGCCCAAATAATTTGCTTCCTAATAGCAGACTCAATATACCAGTGCCGACTGGCGTTTTGGCTCTCTATATTCTATACACTTTCCAAGGGCAAGCCCGCACGGGTCGTAACTCTCTGGCCTCGTGACTCCTTCTGTGTTCTCCCATTCTTGCTAACAAAATGATACAAAGTTAACGCTACTGACAGTATGTTGTGATGGTCGCTGCTAGTCACTACCTATCAGCCATCAGTTTTTTGGAAAGCGGCCACGAAGGCGTTGACCATGAATGAGCCAGATTTGCACCCTTACCCCAAGATTAGTCACCAACCGCCATTGGCTAGCTCTGACACCAGATGCCGCACATGTTGGTTTTTTTTCCTTCTTGTACCCCGTCCAAGGCTCCGCCCCAGCACTAGCGGATGTAACCAGCTTAAGTGCCGAACCTCCCAGTTTGCCGCCGGTGAATCTTGGGTGTAGTCATCGGCGACTGGGTTACCTATTAGCTCGCAGGTAGACGACTGCTTAGCCGGTCGGGACAGTGTGTGGGTCTGTCTCCTATGATCGCATGAAAATTGCTAAAATTCTTTTTAAAGCTACTTGGTGGCCAGCAACGTTAAGCCATTTTGTGTGGCGGACATAGCCTAGTCACAATAACAACTCGAAGGTCCAGTTTGTGGATGTTGGTTGAACGTGGCGCTTTTTCTTTTCGCAAAGCACTTGACCTTTATATATGCTAGAGTCTCTGCTTCTCTCTGCACAATAGACGCTGCATCACTAGCCTTATTCTATCTGGTCAGGTTATGAGCTAATGGGAATACATCGTATGCAGATCTTATAAGGAAGCGAAGTCGCCGTGGATCCATATATCGTTTTAGGACATAGATATCTGCAAGGTCCATTCCCAGCCTACCTACTGACCCTGCTGTGACTACACGGGAGAGGAGTATTGTCTAGATTTTTCCCTCAGGGCCCACCAGTATGTTGCGAGATGAACAGGCGGACAGACTGGCTGGCTATGCACAGCTTGATAGAATACTGATGCATGATAAGGCAGACGTGGCTAGTGCCTTGTGGGAGAGCGTGTACAATTCGGAGGAGAAGATGGATCACCACAGTTTGGTGAGACTGATGCAGGGGGAAGTGACGAGAGGCTCTAGTAGATGCTCGAGTCTCAGAGGGAAGGCAAGACGGACGTTTAATCAGAATGCTATTGGCATTATTAGTATCGTAACTCTTCGATGGCTGTTGAAGATGGGGACAGAGCGCTGAGTCCTGAGTGCTGTGATGTCAGTTCTTGAATCAAGTCAATCAATCAAACCTGCTGTGACTGGTGGACCTCCTTTATTAATCGCAGCTTATCCTCTACGATCTTGATCTGCTTTATCACCATGACCCTGCGCTCCCTGGCTGACTCCTTGGACCAGTGTGCTAGTCTCGTCCATCATCCACCGGAATCCACAACTCCAGTAGTTCAGAAGCTTCAGTATTCAGAAGCAGAATCATGGTTAAGTCCCAGCTATGTCACCATCACTTCTCCTCTGCTCAGTATCATATTTTGAAATTTGCCAGCTAGTAATTTTATCACCCCGCAGCTTGAAAGTACTTGTTAATTATATTACAAGTTATTGTATGGTATTTTACCTGTCCCGAGCTTAGCTGCTTGTTTTCCTTTTCTAGGTAGTCTATTATTAAACTTAACTTCTCAACGAGCTTTACGTAACGTTTCAATTTGTTTATCTCTCTTGCTGCAGTCTTCTGTAATCTGTAATTCTTGTTTTATATGTTTTGGCAGTGCAGTTAACTACTAGCTGATGTTTTTCTCTCTTGAATTTACTCAATGTGCTATCACTCAACTAAGGTTTATGTCACTCTTAAGTTCTGCACTAATCAATAATGCATCTAAAAGTGAGGTCTTTAGATTATTCTTTTTGTCTATACACACACACACACACACACACACACACACACACACACATATATATATATATTTGTCTGTTTGTGTCATATAGACTAGAAAACTATTGAATCGATCTCGCTGAAATTTACAGGATATGTTTGTTTTTTATGCTACCTGTCATAGTTTGAAATAGGTGGCTATAGCACTAACTACACAGCTCCAGCGGCGATCACATCATCATTTTAGTTTTTTTGTCTGGCTGCAATGTTGGCGAGCGTTGTTGAAAATTGAAACCGAGCGACTCCTCTACATTCGATTAGATCAAACGAAGTTGCGTTCAGAAGAGTACATTCAGTTACGTGATTCAATTAATAATGAGGGCAAATTTGTCATACTACCCGTGACATTTACAGCGAGTCCACGGAACATTCATAAATACGCACAGGATGCAATGACATATTGACCGTCCAGACTGATTTATCCCGTTTACATGCAAACATTGGTGCGACGAAATTGGGGAACTTATGTTACCTGGACAATTATCATCGGATCTTCATGATATCAAACAATCATTGACATTTTTTTCATTTATTTCATTTTCATGCATGGTGTTTTTGGATAGACACTCTGTTGGATCTGTGTCATCGAACGGCAAAAAAGAGGATAGCCACATGCACACATTTTGATTTGGTTCATCCAAAAGGTCACACCAGATCAAACTGATCAGGTTATCTCAGCAGAAATATCAGATATCGACATTGATCCAGACTGTTTTCAAGTCGTCACAAGAAATACAATTCCTGGTCCATGCGGCTTACTCAACAATAATTCACCATGCATGTCTGATGGAAAATGCATAAAACTTACATGCCGAGACTATCGCTGGCAATGACGGATATATTCTCTATCGTCGATGATCAGCTGAAGATGGCGGCAAATCCATCACTTTAAACGTGCGAAACAATGATGTTAAAGTCGATAATGGTTGGGTTGTACCGTATTTACCGTTACTCTCGAAGACGTACAAAGTTCACATCAATATCGAGTATTGCAATTTAGTGTAATCAGTTAAGCAAATTTGCAAATATGTCAACAAAGGAAGCGATATGGACGTTTTTAGAGACGGGCATACGACTGCATCTATGGATGAAATCGAGCAATATCAGATGGGGCGCTACATTAGTAGCAATGAAGCAGTATGGCACATTTTGTCATCTCCAATTCATGAACGCCATCCAACAATTGTTCATTTAGCAGTCAATCTTGAAAAAAGACAGCGCGTGTACTTCACAACATATAATGCTCATGCACGTGCATTGTCATCACGCTAACTGCCTTTTTCTCATTGTGTAGAGATGATGTCTTTACACTGTCGCTACTTTAATCTGACCTGCCAACATACTACACGCGGAATGCATCTGCGAAAAAAAAAAGTTTTAGCGTCGCAAACAAGGTAAGGCAGTTGAAGGACATCCCATTTTATATTCTCAAGATGCGCTAGGCCGTCTGTACACATTTCATCCAAAGAATACTGAATGCTTTTACTTGCGAGTACTGGTAATCAACGAACATGGACCGACATCCTTCCAAGACGTGAGAATAGCTACCGGTAAAGTATGTGCTACTTATCGTGAAGCTTGCCAAGAATTAGTCTTCTTGAAAATGATGCACACAATGATTAACAACACGCTTCCTATCCAATGCAAAAGAGATTTTGGAAAAATACAGAGACTACTCGAGTGAAGACATTCTACATCGCTCGCGTGCAATAACTATAAATCCAGAAATTCGCTTCACAACTAACGTATATATTAAGGCATTGGTTATTTATTTAGGACATATATTTGGCAATCACTAATAAGGTACTAGTACAATTGGGACTGGCTGCGCTGGAACGATCTGCAAACAACCTTTTTGATTGTGAGTAGCAACGAGAAATTCCCTTGTTTTACGAGGCATGCCACTTCACGTTTTAATATTGAGAATTGGCGTGTCTATCATTCTTCTCAGAAACGTCAATCCGCCACAGCTTTGCAACGGTAAGTAAAGTAAAGATCCCTTTTCACGCCTTTAGGCTTTCGGGCATATGAGAACAGCGCCCATATTTTTACAGACCATCAGCACTCTGTGGGTAATGTGGTCAGCATTACGCCTGCCGTCTTTACTTTCCCAGGACAGCCCATCCTGGTAGCCATTTTAGGCTGGGTCGACCTGCAACGCTCCATATCATGATAAAAGTCCACGCAGCCAGCTGTGGGTTTCGATCACGGTACGTTCATATTACGAGTCGGACTCGCAACGCCTAAGCCATGGACGCCGCGCTTTGCAACGCTACCAGGCTTTAAGTGAAAAAGTTGATGCCCAGTATCATCAAATGTACATTTTTAAACAGAGAATTTCAGGAAGATGATGTACTATTGCCACGCATCTCAGTGATTCCAACAGACATGCCATTCGAATTCAAACGCATGCTGTTTCCGGTGCGACTCGTCTTTGCAATGACCATTAACAAATCACAGGACAATCGCTACTAGTGTGTGGACTACATTTTTAGTCCCATGCTTTTATCGGAAGCACTTCAGTAAACAGAATTACAATGATTCGTTAAAATGAACAAAGGGACAATCACGCAATATAAATAACTATCTGTACCCAGCCACGCGTTGCTGTGGCATAGTTTGGCTAAATGAAAATGAAAGAAAATAGAAATCGCACGTGTCTAATACAATCATTGTCTGCTCAGCTATAGAGATAGTCTTTGATCCCCCCCCCCCCCCCCCACCCACCACCACCACAACTAAATCCACCTACTACTCTCTCCCTCATCAAAGGTTTTAGAAAAGAAAGACAATGGAAATCGCACGTGTCTAATATAGTTAATGTCGCAATCATTTTCTGCACAGATATAGAGATTGGTTTTCCAACTTTAGAACACGCACCTTATAATTGTGTCTTTATATTAGTGGTGGTTTAAATGGTGTTATTAGCACAGTAACAAAAATGGTTATGTGGTTATCACATGCTAAAGCTGTTTGTATTTTTATAGGGGACGGAAGTAAAGCTACAACTGTACTTGTAAATAACAAAGTAAGTGGTAAAAAATAGAAAAGCGGAGGTAGCATTAGTAAAATATAAACAAATTAGGTAATGAGAACTTGAGAATCACGTGTAAAGCTCTTTAGGTTTTCTTAAATTTAAGTCATTACCCCCTCCCCTCCCCTCTTCCACCGACTACTGCTTTCTCCCTCTCCGAAGGATTTGAAAATCATTATTGACGATATTTTGTTGTTGCTGTAACTGACATTGACATCCCTGTCCATCCGGACTAAAATGGGGAGCTGGAATTGTAATAGGTAGTGAATAGGGCTAGTGTAATATTTACCACATTATCATTCAAATACCAGTACAACTACTACCACGACCACCACCACAGTAGCTAAAATAATGTCACATCTATCTGTGTTACCATCGGAGTAGACAGAGAGTCGTGAGCCAGAAGATTTGGTTCCGCATGGCTAGTGCTGTCGCCACAGACTGGTCAGTTTAGGATGTATAATTTCACTTGCCGACAGAAGAACGCCATAACCTTACCGGCGGTCTTCACATGAGAGCACTATGGTGTAACAGCCCGACCACAACTATTACTGCTGCTGCTACTTTAAGTGGGTAAGGCAGTTACTGTGACTTAAAGCTCTCTCAGTTAATAGTTCCCCACCCCCCCCCCCCTTTTTACATTCACCGACAACTCTTTCCCTCATTGAAGTAGTTGGGAGAAAAAAAAACCCACCTGAAAAGCAAATGTACACAGGGAAAAAAAAAATAATTAGGAAATGAACGCTATGGTAAACAGCACAGCTTAAAATTCCAACGCAGATGAAATAACTAAATCTAAATGAAAATAAATGGAAAGCTATGAAATTTCAGCGTAACCATGCAATCGGAAAGTTTAAAAATGCAATCATAAGTATGCGAAATGGTCAAATTTAATTATCAAATGGTTTACCCATTTACTTGTCTGATTTTTTTTTTTTTTTTTTTTTTTTTTTTTTTTTTTTAGCATTAAGGGCAACATTGCTAGTGCTGTCACCACGACAGAGCAGATAAGGATATTATTTTAGTCCATGGTAAAAAAAAATTAACTACTGCGAATTTGAACCCTGGTCTCTCGCACAGGAACCCAGTGTTCTAACCATTCGAAAAAGCAGCCACCTAATCAGAGCACCGAAAAGAGAACTAAACTATTACAGATGCGTGTCCCTACTACTGTGTCCCGATTATAACACAACTCAAAACCGCAGGCAATTGTTTTTTTTTTTTCGTAGACAGATACTCCAGATATATTAATGAAACCGCACAACAATAGAAATCGCACGTGTCTAACACGGTTAATGAAGTTAATGTCGCAGTCAATGTCTGCGCCGACGTCGAAATAGTCCTTGATGCCCCCCCCCCTTCCATCAAAGGTTATTTGAAGAAAAAAAACAGAAAATAGAAATCGTGTTTTATATGGTTATTGTGGCAAATATAGAGATAGTCTTGTTTGCTGTACCACGACCTACTCTATGTATTAGAGATGGCGTTGGCTGCACGTAACTCGCCGGCGAATGGTGGAAGCCTTGCATTCTGACTACGGCGCATGCGCAATTACTAACGTGGCTATAATTAGAAATCACTAAAATTATAAATATTAGTCTCGAATATTATGGCATTAATTGTCGCAAACTATATCTAACAATGACAGGTTGAATTTCAAACCATGATGGTTCAACATCCGGTATTAAAACAAACATATCTTGAAAATCTCAGCTAAATCGGTTCAGTAGTTTCCGAGTCTATAGGGGACAAACAAACACACACACATTGATTTTTGTTTACATAGATAAACTTTGTTATAGCGAATTAGTAAGTAAATTTTACACCACCAGGCAATCAGACAGAGGGATAAACACTCAATGACACAAAGTACCTCCATCCGGATGACGATCGCCCGTCGAGAGGTCAAGAAAGACGCGTTCAATAATAGGCTATATTCTAGGCCCCGGCAACAGCCAGGGTGGGGCCATATTGCGGCCCCCGGCAACAGCCAGGGTGGAGCCATATTGCGGCCCCCGGCAACAGCTAGGGTGGGGCCATTTTAGAGCTCTCAGCTACAGCTAGGGCGGGGCTACAAAATAACGAAAAATCGCGTCCCACATGGGGAACGACAAAGAATTAATGTATAACGCATTTCTTTTATATTCTCTCTCTCTCCTCTCTCTCTCTCTCTCTCTCTCTCTCTCTCTCTCTCTCTCTTGTTTATCATACCAGGACATCACACAAGCGATAAACAAGCGTTATGCCATATCTATGGCACGGCTATATTCAGAGCCCCCAGCAAAAGCCAGGGTAGGGCTTCAAATCAAGAAAAATTGCATCACATATGGGTACGACTTAAGCATGATAACGGAAGTACTTCCTCTAAATTCAATTTCTTTCGGAGGCGTGCAGAGTAAAGTTAGTATGTGTGTGTGTGTGTATATATATATATATATATATATATATATATATATATATATATATATATATATATATATATATATATATATATATATCAGGAATTCCCTGGTACTATCAGCGACAGCGAGCCACACTAAAACGTTACAATCGGTATAGAGCGAGTGGAAAACCTCGGAAAATATGTAGTGACGGCATTAAGGACGGCCTTGCAAAAATGAACATTAATCCTAATGGTGCTCTTGAAGGAGCTCATCAACGAATGTTACATCTATCACCGACATTTCGATGAGGTATAAGGTGGAAGAGAAGAAGAAGACGACGAATGTCAAACTAGTTATGAGGTCTACATTGAACTTTAGAGAGAAGTTTAATACAGAGACTTCCCATTTGATTTATATTGATTGTAATGTGGTGAATTTCCGGGGAAATCCAAGAGAGTTCCCGATGGGGAGGACAAGGTCAGAGGACCGGTGATACAAGAGAAAAACGAGATAAGTGTGTCTCGAGTATCCCGTGGTGAGCAAATAAGGGATACAAGAAAAGCATGAGACTGGAACAGAAGACGTGAACCGAGAGACGGTAGAAAGAGAGTTAAAGTTTGGACCTGGTTGCGAGAGGTCGTATGTGAGAGGACACCTGATTAGAATGGAGAACTGGTGACAACGTATAACTGTTCGAGAGAAGGTATGATAGTTTTCCTGTTTGTCAGTTTCAACATGTACTAATACCAGATACGAGGCTTTAGTATGAGATGGATGTGTGATTCGAGAGATACGGATGGAGCAAAGCAGTACGCGAGAGAGTAGGCCAGGTCGTCAGAAATCAGCCATGCATAACGACCACAAGGACGAAAGAATGCGCTATCAGTGAGATGTTTGATAAAGCGAATAAAGGTCTATAACTGAACATTCGTTTATGGTGTATCATAGCAACTAAGTGTTCGTCAATACAGTAATGTGGCGTATAGAAACAAACCCCTAGCAGAGCACATTGCACTGATAATGGTTGTGCCATGAGCTTCGCATCGACGTCTCTTCAGCAGTTTCAGCTGGTGGTGGGCACCCACAGTTAAACGTTCAGGAGAGCTCACCTGTTTGATATCAAAGTTGAGGCTTTCTTTCATGAAGATTGGCAACGAAGTGAGAAGGGTATAAGTAACGTAGTTGTTGCACAGATGACCAGCAATCACAGCCCACAGTGGTCCAGAGGTGAACATTTTTAACCAAGGCACTCGCTGCACCTGTCAAAGGACAAAGATTGTTCAACACAGAATAAAACTTACACTAACTTTTACAAAATGTTAAAATAATAGACACGTCTCGTTTTTATAACTGAAAAGGTGAGCGCGCTTTATTGAATAGTGTTGTGTACTTATTACCCAATAGATGTTCAACTATCAGTAAAGTAATGCTTTGTGTAATCTGTTCTGCAAAGCTTCAGAATCATTTTTATCATCTGCTTTTTTGTCAGCATCATCATATTCTTTCTTTTTTTTCTCCATCATCCACATCTTCTTATTCATCCTTCGTTCCGTATTCCTGAATAGAGCACATACCGCCGTCAACTGGCCTCTCTTACAATTCTACTCAACAATTTCAAGCAGCTCACCGCCTGTCCACGAATTTATTCATCTGCTTCTAATACTCTTCACTGTATGTGTTAGTCTGCTTCTAATTCTCTTCACTGTATGTGTTAGTCTGCTTCTAATTCTCTTCACTGTATGTTGTAGTCTGCTTCTAATTCTCTTCACTGTATGTGTTAGTCTGCTTCTAATACTCTTCACTGTATGTTGTAGTCTGCTTCTAATACTCTTCACTGTATGTGTTAGTCTGCTTCTAATTCTCTTCACTGTATGTTGTAGTCTGCTTCTAATTCTCTTCACTGTATGTTGTAGTCTGCTTCTATTTTTCTCTGTGAGCTGTAGTCAGCTTCGAATTCTCTTTACTGTGTTGTTGTAGCCTGCTTCTAATTCTCTTTATTATGTGTTGTACTTCCCTCTAATTCTTTTCCCTGTGTGTTGTTGACTGCTTATAATTCTCTTCTAAATTGGTTGCAGTCACTTCTGAAATGCTTCACTGTATGACTACAACATTTAAAACAAAAAGCCTTGTCTATCGGGCTTGTGTTTTCAGCACTCTGCTTTACGGCAGTGAAACTTGGTCAACCTATTTGCACTAGGAGAGACGGCATAATAGCTTTCACATGCAATGCCTAAGAAGATTACTCGGCATTAAGTGGCATGACAAAATCACAAACACTGAGGTACTGGAAAGAGCAGGCACTACAACAGTCTTTTCCATCCTCAGTCTACGAAAGCTTAGGAGGCTGGGTCACACCTAGAGAATGGTGGATGACAGAGTCCATAAGGACATCCTTTATGGTGAATTAAAGACAGGTGGAAGATGTAGAGGCCGACCTCTACTAAGGTATAAAGATGTGTGCAAGCGGGACATGAACGATACAGGTATTGAGGTGGACACATGCTAACAAAATACCATGGACCGTGATGTGTGGAAAGGGCATATCAGGAAGGGAATGAGAGTGAAGGAAGAAAAGATTGCAGAAAGGATGAGAGCTGAGCGTCCGAAAAGAAACGGATTAAACACAAATATTGACAACAATGATACTGAAATCCAATGCTAGCATTGTAGAAGATTTTTTGGGGGGACACGGGCGGGTCTTGCTAGTCACACTTGCCATGGGCTGTGAGTCTCAAGCCACCTCATAGCGCAATATAACACTATCGCCTGGAAAGACGGAAAGGTCCCATCATCCATCACTTGCTCGTTTGTCAGCCAACTCGACAACAGCTCTCGTAGCCCGCTCGCTAATTCTCCATTCATCACTCAATTCTTGATAACTAGATACGGATTCGCTAGATTTTCGGCTGAGTCGGTCTTGACTAGTTATCTTGGTCAGCGCTCGTTTGTATATTAGCAGCTCGTTTACGTACCACTTCCAAAAGCGTTAGCCATGAATACTGCTAGGAAAGCACCCTTGGAGTCCTTATCAGGATTCTTAACAAGTCTTGCCGACTCTTCAGAGATCAAGCTATCGCTAGTCGCCCGATAGGTATCGCCTTGCCAGATAACACTACAAGATAGGAAAATCAAAAAAGCAAGCCGCATGACTGTCGTATGGCAGTTTTGTCGAGCACCTTTACTTACGGAATATTTTCACAAATCCCTCAGGTGCTCTGAGACAGGAGTGTTTTGAATGGTGGCTCTCGTTCGTCTAGAGGCCTAACCCTCGGTTCAAACTATCCATTCAACCTGTCTCAGGGATGAGGTGACTCGAGCTCTGACTCCACAGGGTTATTATGAACACTTGGGTACCTCTCGGCCAGACGTCCTCATCACTATTTTGCCCCCAGACTGGTAACCAACGTAACACAGTCAAACAAGTAAACAACAGCGAATAAGACAAGACGTGAATACCTTTCTGACTATGACAATTAATTCACCACAGTGATTTAGCTAAGAACAGCAAGACTGGTGAACAAAAATTGAACTGTAATAAAAACTTCATAACAAGAAATATCAAAAGTAGCACGAAGAATCAAATGAAAGATTGCTGAATTCTCTAAAGAACAAAGACAGAGAAAGAGTCTTCCTCCTAATCTACGTCTCTTTCCGGTATCATCACAGCTGAGGTGAGGGACAGATTATAAAGGCCCATTTGGAATAAAGCTGCCTTTGAATGTCACTCTGACTTATCTGTTTAGATCTTGTAGCTCCTCAGGATGCCGGAATGGAGTTTCAGACCCCCTCACTTCACAGAACGATTACACAAGAACGATGCGGCTTCTGGAATTGATCAAGGACAATCAACTCGAGATCGGAAGACGTCGACTCTAGTCCCGTCTACACATTCAGCAGCAGCAATTCACCACACGTCAGTTGCTTCTTGGGTGGTGGTAGGTGGAAGCACTCAGTTAGACCACGGAGTCTCGTTGGATCTTCAGAAATCCCATGATAAATGGAAGAGAAGAAAGAATCGTGTCTTTTTAACGGTCAAGTGGCAACACAAAAGGAAATCGTCTGCCTCATAGACCGGACCATAGAGAAGTGACGCATACAAATACAGTCCCCAACTACGGCAGTTGGTGTAAGAATCCTGCTCACGTATGCGGTGAAGTGGTCAGACAATTTATTTTAAATAGGCGTAGAAAATGTGTCCTAACGTGTAAATCGGCACTAAAAGCCTAAAAGAATCATTATCATAGTGAATTATAGGGATTTTTCTTATCTGGACTCCCCCACAACAAACGAACTATATAACTACGGTCAGCCTAACCTATATCATAGTTACAATGACGATTTTGGGGGTGTTCAGACTGTGGACCTGTCCAAGGCGGTAGATGTGTGTACTCTGTCATGCGACACTCACCAAAGAAACCGGATCCTACTGTAGCAGAAGCCTCTGCTACAGATAACCGGAGCCATGCGGCGGTCACTCACAGGCCGCGCAGCCCTATTCCAGAAGTTGAAACTACAGCAGAACCTACCAGTGTCTTTGAATCTGAGAACCCACACCAGCCATCAGCTACCAGTGCCGCCGATGCTCCTATGGTCCAGCTAAACACGAGGCCACTGGCACCCACAAGCACGCAACATAAGCAATAGCAGCAGGGTATCTATGCACCAGAGATACAGAAGTGCGCATAGTGAAATACTGCGTGGCACACCACATCGACCTGTCGTAGCGTCCTCATTTCCAATACTGCTCGGAGACCCACGATTTTAAAGAGTGCCACCTGGCTAAAGTTTACCATGGCTTTAGGAGACCGAACTCGAACAAACGGTGCTCCAAATGTGTAGGCGCTTACAGTGAGAGATACCCGAGCTGCCCATATCTTAAAGAGATGAAGAGGGCTGTGTCTACTGTCGGTTCTAAATCCGCGCACAGGTACAAGGCGCCTAGACCATACAGACCGAATTTCACAAACCAGTCGAGAAGCCAACAAAAATCACAACACCTGAGAGGGTGAATGTTGCCACCAGAGACCTTGAACTTGTTCGAGCGATTACAGAACTGAAATCTGAGCTACAGAAGGAGAAAGCCACTGCCGCAGCAGAAAGAGTAGAGACGCTTGACCTTATCTTCCTGATGCAGGGAGAAATAAAAGCTCTGAAAGCTAACGCAAACTGATCTTCTAAACGAAAACCAGAAAGAAGCTGCAAAAACTAAAGAAAACGTCAGCGCTTAAATCACAAGGTTAAGAGGGGCGCAAGTAGCACACGAACGACGCAGATATAAGGAGAGGGAGGGGCACAGGAGAGAGATGGCAGACCTCAAAGAAGCGCGTGAGAGTGCCTACCGTGAGGTCGCCAGCCTAACGAAGAAGGATGCAAAAACAATCAGTAAATTACTTGAACTCAGATCCGCAATAGCTGTGGAGAATGCAAAAGAAGCACAACGGGAAAGATTCGAAAGCTTCAACAATTCGAAAGCTAACAGAGGCTCGAAACGCCATCAGAGAACTTTGTGAAATCCGTTAGAAACTGACAGTGGAGGCAGCCAAGATCGAATCACTTGTGGTTGCAGCACAGTAGCCACTAAGAGACCCTGAGTGCGACGAGTCTGACCAAGAAGATAACTACCCAGAGCAAAGAACAGCAGACGATTACGCCCCCGTTTAGGAAGAACCCTTTGACATACCAGAGGAATAGAAGATTCCCCTCCCCCCTTCACACACACACAGCGATTCCAGGGCCACCTGTGAACAAGAGGAGTCAGAGCAATGGAGCTCACCGCGTTCCACAGGCGAGGTAGACAAGGACGCCGCCAACATTAAAATCATCATCATCAACAACAACAACAACAACAACAAAACAGTCAGCACAATGCAGCAAAAGACAACTCGAGCCAAATAGCACAGCCAATGAAAGAGACCAGACACAAATGCCACCATCTTCAAGGAAGAGTAATAACCGAAACCGCCTTGACAGCAGTCCAAGCCAGCCCACGGGACAGGAAAACCTCAATATCGCAAGACCAGCCAGGTATGTTGTTCTACCACCGGACTACTCCAACCTATACCAGATGCAGGCCGACCCAAGCAAATTCAACTAGTCCTTTTCAGGACTATTAGACATCCACTCCCAAAACAGCCAGTGTAGCAGAAATGCAAGGAAATTGCAACAAGACGTGAACCCATGTCGCAAAAAAAAAAAAAAAAAAAAAAAAAAAAAGACTTCAAAACCACAATAAAACAAAGGACTCAAATATAGCCAAGCCCTAGTGGCAGGTTGAAGGTGTGGAACGTTTTTTTTTTTTTTCCCTGAATTCAAATCAAATCAAAGACGGAAAGGTGCCAATCAATCAATCAATCAATGACTACAGCACAGAGAGACGTGAATTAGAAGCAGACTACAACATACAGTGACGAGAATTAGTTGTGACTGCCACACAGTGAAGAAAATTAAAAGCAGACTACGACACATAGTTAGGAGAATTAGGAGCAGATTACAACACATACTGGAGAAAATTATAAGCAGTATACAACATTCAACGTGCTGATTCAATGGTTAACATCATGCAATGTGCTGATTCAATAGCTAACATCACATTGTGTGCTGATTTAATGGGTAACATGAAACAGTGTGCAGATATAACTGCTAACATCACATTGTGTGCTGATTTAATGGCTAACATGAAACAGTGTGCAGATATAACTGCTAACATCACATTGTGTGCTGATTCAATGGCTAACATGAAACAGTGTGCAGATATAACTGCTAACATCACATTGTGTGCTGATTCAATGGCTAACATGAAACAGTGTGCAGATATAACTGCTAACATCACATTGTGTGCTGATTCAATGGCTAACATGAAACAGTGTGCAGATATAACTGCTAACATCACATTGTGTGCTGATTCAATAGTTAATAAACAGAGAACTGAGAACTAGAATCAAACTACCGTTGCTTGTAGATTTAGGGGTTGCAACATTGTTTATGAGAATGTGGTGCATACCGTGGACTTGCGAGTTCACTTACATGTCCGGTTACTTGAGTCAATATTTGAGGCTGTGTTGACTTAAGCCGGGAGATGTCAGCACGGCTTGAGTCAATATTATAAGTCAGTGTTGACTAAGGGCCGGAGGGACCAGTTGGTTCACGAAATGCGGGGCGAACTATCATACTTAGTGCGCAGATAGCAGGAGGTGCACGAGAAGTAATGGTTTCTCTGTGAGGGAGAATCATTACAGTGAGCGTCTTGTGTTGCACGGAAGAGCTCACAGGGGCAGGCAGGCATATAAACTGGGGTTGACTTAAGTCAAGAGAGAAAGAGAGAGCTGGAACAGTTAAGGTAAGTAGCGTTTGAGGCGGAAGTACTCGCGAGATAATAGTCTAGAGGATAGTCGAGAGTATAGTCGAAGGAAAAGAAGTTCAGTGAGCAGAGCTGAGCTAGGAGAGCTGGACTACTTCGAGAAGAAGCTGTCTTGAGTGACGACGCATGTGTGGTTGTAGTGATCACCAGTGAAACAAGACAACAGAGATGTTGGTGACAGCTGTGTGCTAAAGGGGACTCAGAGCTGGGAGTCCTGCAGGTCATCGTGGTTCCTTCGACCAGGCTGATGTGCTGCATGCACATTCTATAGATCAAGCACTGTGAAGTTTTCCAGTCAGCCGATGTGACAGTGTCTGCTACACATAGAGCAATGGAGGTCAAGTTGAGTAGAAGATGTAACCTGTTCATCTTTACAGCCAGCCCTGAAGTGAGGGGAGCTGGAGACCTAGGCACTGTAGCGGTCAGCTCAGCGAAAAGTGGCAGCTAGTGTAGGCTGTCCGATGGGGTGCCGCTAAACCATTTAGAGTGAGCGAAGCTTTGGACATTCATTTCATGATAAGCCAGTGGTTGGACATGTGTATGATTGCTTCACATGCATTATTCTATGTGCGGGTTGGTGTGTACCACCTGAACGTTCTTGTGAAATAAATGTTTATATATGGCGGCAACACGTCGTTGAGTTTTCCTGACATTTTGTGCGTAAGAGGGATACAACAGTTTGGAGTGTGAATCATATCCTAGATACTTGGTCAGATGATCATGTGCTGTCTTTCCACAATAGCACACAACAACTACAACACACACAGAAGAAAATTAGAAGCTGCTACAAAACAGTGTATAGAAAATTAGAAGCTGACTACAAAATACAAAGTAAAGAATTAGAAGCAGACTGTAACACACAGTTAAAAGAATTAGAAGCTAACTACAGCATACGGTGAATAGAATTAAAAGCAGACTTTAATAAACAGTACAGAGAATTAACTGAAATGGAAGCAGACTACAACACACAGTGAGGAGAATTAGCAGCAGACAGACACAAATAGAGAAGAGAGTAAGAAGCTACTACAACACAAGAAGGAGATAATTTGAAACCAACTATAACACAGGAAAGAGAATTAGAAGCGACTACAACACACAGGCAAGAGACTGAGAAGCAGACTACAACACACAGGCAAGAGACTGAGAAGCAGACTACAACACACAGGAAAGAGAATTAGAAGCGACTACAACACACAGGCAAGAGACTGAGAAGCAGACTACAACACACAGGCAAGAGACTGAGAAGCAGACTACAACACACAGGAAAGAGAATTAGAAGCGACTACAACACACAGGCAAGAGAATTAGAATCAGACAGACACACAGGGAAGAGAATTAGAATCAGACAGACACACAGAGAGAAAAGAGTAAGAAGCGACTACAACACACGAAGCAGGCTATAACAATAGAAAGAGAATTAGACGCAACTACAACAGACAGAGAAGATAATTAGAAGCAGACTACAACAAACAGTGAAGATAATTTAAAGCAGACTACAACACACAGGAAAGATAATTTGAAGCAGACTAGAACACACAGTGAAAGCAATTAGAAGCAGACTACAGCATACAGTGAAAGTAATTAGAAGCAGACTACAGCATACAGTGAAAGTAATTAGAAGCAGACTACAGCATACAGTGAAGATAATTAGAGGCAGACTACAGCATACAGTGAAGATAATTAGAAGCAGACTACAGCATACAGTGAAGATAATTAGAGGCAGACTACAATAAACAGTGAAGATATTTACAAGCTGTCAAAATAGGAGAGCCAACAGACTGCGTCCAATTGGTATTTAAAGCAAAATAAGTGATACACGAGATATTCGAGTGAGGAAAAAATGAAACACTTCAAAATTGAGCATATATAGGTAGGCCTTTAATCTATTGCTGAGCTTAGAGTATGTATTGGCCTGCTTTTGACGGAAGACTTCTGGATAATGGGACATTTCTGTCAGTTGTACCTGACATACCTCTGGGGACCAAACTATGTGCGGCTGATTTGGGTTGTCTTTATACGCTGCAGCTCTTGTGAATTCAAACTGACGCAGAGGACTTCATAACAACCAGACTGTGAAATGACATAAGAAACTATCAGAAAGGGTTCAACCGGCCAACACATATCAGCAAGACGCCCAGCACATATCAGTAAGACACCTGCGATTTTGCAGAAAGGCACATTTATCAAAGCTGATATATAAACATACAAGGCTAGAAAAAAAATACTGTATCAGAGTAACAACGGAAGGTAAGATTTGGTAGAACACCAACACTGACAGAGGATCAGATGCGCTTACAGGGTTTGTTTGTGTCTTTACCTTTTTGGCAACGCCTTTCCCAATAGATGTCTGGATGTAGAGTCTCTCCTTCGCAGAAATACGTGGATGTTTAGCTGGAGTATCAGCTACAAGTAAGTGCCAGGCAACCACCCATAACAAGTTGAAAATACCTGTACGGAATACGGATAATTAGTTTTATCTCATCAACTTCATTATAATTGTTATGGTCAACTCATTATTTCTCTGTTATGGTCAAATTATTTTTTCTCTGTTATAGTCAATTCATTTTTTCTCTGTTATAGTCAATTCATTTTTTCTCTGTTATAGTCAATTCATTTTTTCTCTGTAATGGTTGCGACGCTGAATTGTTTATTTTGTTGAACTATTGCTAAAGTTACTTTGGTTTCTAAAATTACGGAGTGGTCATCTGGAAAGTAGTTTACTACTATGTGTTCTTTTTGTTTAAACAAACATTGTGCATCTTTCATGGGTCTCTCAACTTCATCATCGACTTGTTCCTTAAACAGCCACGAGTCAGCCAAAATATAACCATATAAGTGTCAAATTATCACTAGGCTACACTATTTAAGATTTAACAATCAGCTGGCGATGTTGACAGGATGCCAAGAGATATTATCGCTGGAACATGCAATGTATTCATTTCAAGATGATAAGTGGAACACATAGCCACATGGACACCCTTAAGCAGTCCTACATTGAAGTGGTTGTGAATTCAGGCTAGGCGTAAGTCGCAAGTACGCTATACATTGTTTTTCTTCTTCTGATAGTTCATGCCGTATGGCATTGGTAATCATGTCTATTCACAACTTTCTGTCTCGTGTGCTTTCAGTCAGTTCTGACACAAATGATCTTCCACTCCATTATGTCAGACTGACCAGCTTGTGCTCTCTCGGTCTCCCTCTGCCTCTCTTCCCCTCCAGCTCTCTCACTGTCGCGATATACTCCAGTTTTCGCCAGCTCATGGCATGAATAAAGAATGTAGATTGCCTCCTCCTGATGCATGCAAAAGTTCTTTTCGTAAATCAGTTTTTATTAAGACATCGTTACTCTTTTTTTTTTTTTTTATCTGTCCAGGGTATTCTCATTTTTTGTCTATAGAATGACGAAGCTTCTGAAGCTTCCAAATAATTGTCCACTAATCGACCAATTGTCCACGACTCACTTCCACATATCAGGGTATGATTTACATAGTTTTTAAGAATTCTCTTTCTCATCTTGACAAAGAAAGATTGCAAAGAAAACTTTTTGTGTGTGTAAAATGATGCCTTTGCTTGAGCTACTCTACATTTTTTAATACATCTTCAATCTGTATTTTATGATTATAAAAAAGGGCGGAAAAAGGGGGGGGGGGAGCTGAAATCGATCTGTATCAGTTTGAAGACGTATTAAATAAGTTAAATGTATATATCGCAAGCACAGAAAATGAAAAATGCTCTGTGCAATTTTACTTTATAAATTGAGCCGAGAAAGAGAATTCTCAAAAGCTGTATAAATCCTTTCCTGATATACGGTAATTAATTATGGACAGTTGACCGTTTAGTGATTCCTCATCCGCACTTTAAATACAACCTGCCGCTTAATACAACCAGCATGATTACTTTACATTTCTAACATGTAGCCACTCTGTGATTGTGAAATCCCCATTAAGCCAATTGGTGAGTGTCTAACTACCATGTAGCCACTCTGTGATTGTGAAATCCCCATTAAGCCACTTGGGGAGTGTCTAACTACCATGTAGCCACTCTGTGATTGTGAAATCCCCATTAAGCCACTTGGTGAGTGTCTAACTACCATGTAGCCACTCTGTGATTGTGAAATCACCATAAAGCCACTTTGTGAGTGTCAAACTACCAGTTAGCCACTTTAAGATTCTTCTTTTTCTTCTTCGTGTTTACCAGCTGTAAACTCTGGCGGAAATTTCTGGTTACTCATCCAATTCTGGACCCTAGTTCTGTTCCAGCTTGTAAATCCATATTGTAAGGTGACCATAAGTTTTCGCTGTAGTTCCGTTGTGGCAGTCAGTTCAATATTTCTCTAAATGTATATCTGTGTGTGTGCGCGTGCACCAGGGTGCGTTGTTACTGACTACATCCTAATATCACAATAAGCCAACTGGGTCAGAAAGAAGCAGCTACAACCACCAACCACAGAAGACGCTTCTCACCCGACAGATAAAATATGGATCCCCAGCCATTGTCGAAGCCGTACTCGCACAAGACGCCCGAGATGGAGAAGGTGACGATGTTTCCCACCAACGGTCCTGGAGACACAACATGTTTATAAGTATCACAGTACACACTGGTGCTTACGTTTATCTCAGTAAACTGGTGTGTTTATTGATCCAGCAATGTAAACATGTACTGTTTCTGTCCATGGCGCTCTTTCAGAATTCATACACGTTCATAGTTTTCTGTCATTTTCTAACTTGTCTTTACAAAACCCATCAAAGAAACAATAATCAAATTAGCGAGTAGACAGTCCACTAACAAGTATATTATTGATCGACAAATGTACACAATATATTTCTTATTTGTCACCTTCGATTCACACATACAGTCAATTAACTACTGAAATGAGCAGTTTTCACGTAAGCACATTTCACGACACATGATTGTGAATTTAGCTGTACATACAATAGAAGTCCCGCATTTCTAGTAATCCACTTCAAACACTAGGCAAACATACATGAGTATATCCCCAAACGTAAACATACTATACCCTGTGATTTTGTTCTTGTTTGCCTCCTAGTTCATGTGTATGTAAACTTGATGCCCTTTATTTTCTGCGTCTAGATTTTTTCAAAAAATGTCGATAGATAGATAGATAGATAGATAGATAGATAGATAGATAGATAGATAGATAGATAGATAGATAGATAGATAGATAGATAGATAGATAGATAGATAGATAGATAGATAGATAGATAGATAGATAGATAGATAGATAGATAGATAGATAGATAGATAGATAGATAGATAGATAGATAGATAGATAGATAGATAGATAGATAGATAGATAGATAGATAGATAGATAGATAGATATAGATAGATAGATAGATAGATAGATAGATAGATAGATAGATAGATAGATAGATAGATAGATAGATAGATAGATAGATAGATAGATAGATAGATAGATAGATAGATAGATAGATAGATAGATAGATAGATAGATAGATAGATAGATAGATAGATAGATAGATAGATAGATAGATAGATAGATAGATAGATAGATAGATAGATAGATAGATAGATAGATAGATAGATAGATAGATAGATAAGATTAGATTAGATTAAATAGATAGATTAGATAGATAGATTAGATAGATAAGATAGATAAGATAGATTAGATAGATAAGATAGATAGATAGATAGATAGATAGATAGATAGATAGATAGATAGATAGATAGATAGATTAGATAGATAGATAGATTAGATAGATTAGATAGATTAGATAGATTAGATAGATTAGATAGATTAGATAGATAGATTAGATAGATAGATTAGATAGATTAGATAGATTAGATAGATAGATAGATAGATAGATAGATAGATAGATAGATAGATAGATAGATAGATAGATAGATAGATAGATAGATAGATAGATAGATAGATAGATATGTGTGTGGGGGGGGGCTATGTGTAGGTGTGTGTGTGGGTGTTTTGTGAGTGTGTGGGTGTTTGTGTGTGTGTGTGTGTGTGTGTGTGTCTGTAATTTTACAAACCTGCGAATGTCACTGATGCCATTTTACTTCTTTCAAAAGGCGGAGCCCATTGTCCCAGCAGTGCATGCACACAGGGGAATGTAACACCCTGTCGTAGAAAAACGCTTAATTTTACTGTTAGTATCAATCAGCACTGGAAGACAGGGAATGACTGCAAAGATCACCCAGTCACAATCTTTACATACCATAGAATTCAAGTTAAATGTGACTAAAAACCTTAACCAAACGGAGGAGCAGAAAAACGTGCACAAAAGAACATTTCGGCCGGTGTCTTTTCTCGAACAAATAATATCATCACGATCAGCAGGCTAGTCAGTGACAAGACTAGCATTCAAGTCGTCATGACGATCAGTAAGCTAGTCAGTGACAAGACTAGCATCATCACGATCAGTGGGCTAGATAGTGACAAGACTAGCGTCATCACGATCAGTAGGCTAGTCAGTGACAAGACTAGCGTCATCACGATCAGTGGGCAAGTCAGTGACAAAACTAGCGTCATCACGATCAGTAGGCAAGTCAGTGACAAACCTAGCATCATCACGATCAGTAGGCAAGTCAAGGACAAGTCTAGCGTCATCACCATCAGTAGGTAAGTCAGTGACAAGACTAGCGTCATCACGATCAGCAGGCTAGTCAGTGACAAGACTAGCATCATCACGATCAGTAGGCTAGTCAGTCACAAGACTAACGTCATCACGATCAGTAGGCTAGTCAGTGACAAGACTAGCGTAATCACGATCAGCAGGCTAGTCAGTGACAAGACTAGCGTCATCACGATCAGCAGGCTAGTCAGTGACAAGACTAGCATCATCACGATCAGTAGGCTAGTCAGTGACAAGACTAGCGTCATTACGATCAGTAAGCTAGTCAGTGACAAGATTAGCATCATCACGATCAGCAGGCTAGTCAGTGACAAGACTAGCATCATCACGATCAGTAGGCTAGTCAGTGACAAGACTAGCGTCATCACGATCAGTAGGTAAGTCAGTGACAAGACTAACGTCATCACGATCAGTAGGCTAGTCAGTGACAAGACTAGCGTAATCACGATCAGTAGGCTAGTCAGTGATAAGAGTAGCATCATCACGATCAGTAGGCAAGTCAGTGACAAGACTAGCGTCATCACGATCAGTAAGCTAGTCAGTGACAAGACTAGCATCATCACGATCAGTAGGCTAGTCAGTGACAAGACTAGCGTCATCACGATCAGTAGGCTAGTCAGTGACAAGACTAGCGTCATCACGATCAGTAGGTAAGTCAGTGACAAGACTAACGTCATCACGATCAGTAGGCTAGTCAGTGACAAGACTAGCGTAATCACGATCAGTAGGCTAGTCAGTGATAAGAGTAGCATCATCATGATCAGTAGGCAAGTCAGTGACAAGACTAGCGTCATCACGATCAGTAAGCTAGTCAGTGACAAGACTAGCATCATCACGATCAGTAGGCTAGTCAGTGACAAGACTAGCATCATCACGATCAGTAGGCTAGTCAGTGACAAGACTAGCGTCATCACGATCAGCAGGCTAGTCAGTGACAAGACTAGCGTCATCACGATCAGCAGGCTAGTCAGTGTCAAGACTTGCGTCATTTCGATCAGTAGGCTAGTCAGTGACAAGACTAGCATCATCACGATCAGTAGGCTAGTCAGTGACAAGACTAGCATCATCACAATCAGTAAGCTAGTCAGTGACAAGACTAGCATCATCACGATCAGTTGGCTAATCAGTGACAAGACTAGCGTCATCACGATCAGTAGGCTAGTCAGTGACAAGACTAGCGTTATCACGATCAGTAGACAAGTCAGTGACAAGACTAGCGTTATCACGATCAGTAGGCAGTTCAGTGACAAGACTAGCGTCATCACGATCAGAAGGCAAGTCAGTGACAAGACTAGCGTCATCACGATCAGCAGGCTAGTCAGTGACAAGACTAGCGTCATCACGATCAGTAGGCTAGTCAGTGACAAGACTAGCGTCATCACGATCAGTAGGCTAGTCAGTGAAAAGACTAGCGTCATCACGATAAGTAGGCTAGGCAGTGACAAGACTAGCGTTTAAGGCCTTATAACAATCAGTAGGCTAGTCAGTGACAAGACTAGCATTCAAGGCGTCATCACGATCAGCAGGATAGTCAGTGACACCACTAGCATCATCACGATCAGTAGGCTAGTCAGTGACAAGACTAGCATTAAAGTCGACACTGTGACAACTGGCATCTAGTCATTAGAGAATGTTGGTTGACACTAAATCTTTCTTTGGAGCCGTGGCTGGACTATGAGAGTCTACATAGATGATAGCAGAGTTGCAGCCTCTGTCCTGAATTTGTTGCAATCTTCCCATGCCCCCACTGTGAGCATGTAAATACTTGTGTCTTAATATTCGGAGGATATTGATTTATACAGTGAAAGAGCTGATTGATGTGACTCAGATTATTCTGTTTGAAGGTTATTCCTGGGACTTACAGAACTGCACTTTGCAAGTATAGATAGCAAATCCACAGTCCTGGTGTGAGAACTTTACACATCGTTATGTCAGTTATTATATTTGCTTGCTGTGTCAACGTTTCTCTAACAGCATGATTTTAATTTTTTCTCTATATATTTAACGGTGTGAGTGGGTGGGTGTGTGTGTGTGTGGGGGGGGGATTTTTTTTTCTAATCTCGAAATGTATTGTTCAGAAAATCAAATGTATTGGAAGCAATTCAGGCTTTTCAAATTATTGTTCATTGTTAATTTTACAGATTATCTTTATTGCATATCGAACACCACCATAAGTGCTACTGATGTTTACCACAACAACTTGATTCTGTTATTTTAAAAAATAATATGAAGTGATTTTCTGTGGTTTTGCTGTCTGCAGGATCCTCGCCGATGCTACGAAGCTACGTGCGTTGAGCTGAAATCCACCCGTGTCATGTGTTTTCAAATCAAGTAAGGGTTACGTCCTGTCTACGAAATTAAAAGGTCTCCAGGACTAGCTGTTAGGTTTGTTTTAGTTTTAGACAGATACGACTGAGCTACTGTATACCAGTAGCCAGTAATTTTGCATCAAAGGATGTTAACTACCCATGACCTCTGAAGTGATGCTTGCCACTCTGCACGAAGCATGCATGCATTCACCTTTCTCAACATTCTCTGTGAGTCAGTTACAATTACGGCATGTGTGTGCAGCTGATTCTCAAGCCAGTGGAGGGCACAGAGACTGCCCCAACCTCCATTCTTAAACTAAACGCTGTGATATCAAATGCAAGGCTTTGCTATACTAAGCGACGTCCATTTGACTTTGCTATGAACACCCATGCACTTCGTCTGCCCCTCAACACAGAGCCATCGGTATAGATAATCACATTACCTGGGCGGGAATTTGTTGAACTTATGATTTTGCAGCAAAAACTGGCCAGTCTCTGCACTCACGACCTAAAATGATTAAAACCCTACACAAGTCTGAAATTTGTTCGGACACCTTGACCCACTCCTCTCCTCGCCTAAATTTATAAAGCCTGCACACATGTCCAGTTGTGTCTTTAGCTAGCGCGATCCAAGATCTTTTCAGTCTTTGACCCTTAGCTCTACCCAGGGCTTTACGCAGAAGATGCTTCTTGTATACAGCTACTCTATGACTTTGACTACAGAACTTTGAGTCTGTCTGCAATAGTTTTATCAGCTGTCTGTTTGATATTGTAAGCATTCTGAGTCCATATTCTATCACCGACAGGGTCACCTTCTGGAACATTGTGAACATCATTCTTTGTTCCATGTCCATTTCTGCCAAAATCTTATAAGCATTGAATTGCTATCCAGTTCACCAGCCAGAAGCAAAGCCTCTTTCTCCTTGAGTGCAGATATCAACATATCATATCTGACTCTATTGTAGGCATCTTCAAAATCAAGTGTTGCCACATCTATCTCCTTTCTGTTCTGAAAGCCTTAATAAACATCAAAAGCAAAAGTGTCTGAATTAGACCATGTATCTTTCCGTGCCCGGTCTTCTTATTCTTCTTCACTTCCACTTTTATCGCTGTGGGTGTCGAGGGAGATATAAGGTTCTGTTTCTGGCTCTTCTGGTCGCCTCGAACATAGGCACATCGTGCTGTTGTAGAGCTTCTCTGATGTTATCCTTCCATGTGGTTCTTGGTCTACCTCTTGCTCTACGACCTTCTTCTCTTTCCGTGTATGCTTTGTATGGTATGGTGTCACAAGGCATTCTCTCTAAGTGGGCAAACCATTTCACTTCCTGTCTTTGTATGTAATTTAGAATCGGTTCTGTGCCGACTTTTTCTCTTATGATCTCATTCCTGATCTTATCTCTTATGGTCACTCCTACAGCCCTTCTCAGACATGTCATTTCCATCGTTACTAATTTTCTTTTATGGTTTGTTGTGAGTGACCATGTCTGGCACTAGTAGCACAAAGTTGGAATAAATATGCTTTAAATAAGATGTCTCTTTGTGCTGATTGGGATTGTCTTATGCTGTAAGAGTGGGGCTAGCTGTCCCAATACTTTGTTTGCTTTACTGCATCTAATGTTAATTTCTTTATCCAATTTCCCATCTTCGGTAAATGTAGTTCCCAGATATTTAAACTCAGATGCCTGTTTAATGCCTTTGTTCTCTATTGCTATGTTTAGATCTGTCTTCTTTTTTCCTATTGACATTACTTCTGTCTTTTCAGTGTTGATTCTCATATTATTTGTTTTACATTCTTCATTCATGGATGTTAGATGTTGTTGCAATTTCATGGTTGTATCTGCTATCAAGACCTGGTCATCTGCAAAGAGTAATTCGTTGATCTTCCTTTCATTTTCATTTATGGGCTTGGCATTCTTGCATATACTGTCGATGTAGGTGATAAACAGCAGTGGTAATAAGACACACCCCTGTCTTACTCCAGATGTTACTGTGAATGGATGAGATGTTTCCTGATTTATTCTAACTACACTTCTACAATCCCTGTATAAACTTTTGCACACTTCGATGAGGTGTTCGCTTACTCCATATCTTGCCATTACTTTCCATAATAATTGTCTGTCGACTCTGTCAAATGCCTTCTCCTGGTCTACGAAGCCCACAAATAAGTTCTTATTGTATTCAATCTTCTTTTCTATTAACTGTTTAAGTGTGAAGATTGCATCTGTGCAGCTTCTATTTCTCCTAAATCCCATCTGTTCTTCTGCCAGCTGTGGTTCTATTACTGGTCTCAGTCTTGTTTCTATTATCTTGGCATACATTTTGCCAACATGGCTTAAAAGAGAGATGCCTCGGTATTGACCGCATTCTCGTTTGCTTCCTTTGTTCTTCCACAATGGTATAACTATTGCATGTTGCCAATCAATAGGGGCAGTTTTTTGTACCCATGCTGCATGAAATATACTGTGAAGCCATCTGATGCTGCTTTCACCTGTTGGTAATCTATCAGCTCCTGGTGCTTTATATTTGGGAGACTGCTTAATGACTTTTTCTATTTCATCCATTAGTATGTGTGGTTCTAACACTGTTGCTCTGTGCTCTTTAGTTGTTCTTTCCTGATGATCTCATTGATGATTAAAGAGCTCATTGAAGTATTCCCTCCATCTTTCTGCTATCTCGATTGGATTTATCAATGGCCTTCCTGTCTTATCATTATTATTTCAGTGGGGTTGTAGCTCTCATCTCTTTTCCGCATATTTTTAACTACTTTGAAAAATTTTCTGCTCGCTGTTTTCTTATTTTCTGCTAATGATTCACCGAAACGTTCCCAGGATGCTTGTTTTGCTTTCTTGACACTACTGTTGGTTTCTCTCCTTTGCAGTTTATAGGTTATATAATTTTCTTCTTTCTTTGATTTTATCCACTGTTTATATAAGTCATTTTTCTTTTTAATTGCGTCTTTTACTTCTTCGCACCACCAAGGTGAATATTTGTTATTTCCCCGTCTGTTTCCACTCTTCCGTTTTCCACATAATTCTTCTGCAATACTAAGCATAGTGTTTTTATATTTACTCCATTCTTCTTCAATATTGCCAACTACATGTGGAAGTTGTTTGAATGCTGTCTCTACTTTCTATTGTAACTGTTCTTTTACTCCTTCCTGTTTCAGATTTGCTATCTTGATGAGATCCTTGTTTTTGGTTAATTTCTTTCTGTGTTTCCTTAATGTAAGATGTTTTGATGTTAACACAACTATTTTATGGTCAGTGTCACATAGACCATTAGAGGGATTTCTCTTGAATCAAGAATTCTGCTTCTTCCTTGAACTCTGGTAAGTATAAAGTCAATCTGGCTCTTGATGGAGACATCATTCCATTTGTACCAAGTGTAAAGTTGTGAATCTCTATGGTCAAAGAATGTGTTCGTAATAAAAAGATTGTGATGGCTGCATAGATCCAATATTCTTTGACCATTTCCATTTCTATGACTGTTCTTAGCTCCATGTGGACCTAGAAACTGTTCGTATTCTGTAACTACTCAAAACATTTAGCAGCAGCTCTTCCATTTCCAAAATTTTGTTGTTGTTTAACAGCATTAATCTTCGCTAGCACCTTGCCAACAGTAATCTGTAGGGTGATAGTCCTGAAATCCTGAGTCTGGAATGATCTTTGCCTTGTCTTTGCTGTGTACCCAATCCTGGAGTACTAACGCGGTTTTGTTGCTCCGGTTGAAGTGAAATGCCATTTCCTTTAAGTCATCATCACTCATGCTCTTCATGTGGGGATACCTCACTCCGTATGGCTCCAGCTCAGTGTATTTTGCTTTTTGCAATGCATATTTTATATTCTCCACCCTAATGATATCCTGAAAATAATTAGCCTTTTTAGAATTAGACAGAATATCTCTAACTCAATTTCTAAGCTCACAATCATTATGATCAGTTTGGGCTAGACGTCTCCTCAAAACTGTTACCCATCTCTCTTTCTCTGTTATCATTGGAATACCGCTATCAGTGTATATAAGCCCTGTTTTGATCTTTCTTTTGCCCCTATCTGTGCAGTTTCCACAACCTACCCAGTGATTTATCCCCTCCAATTTCGTCATAAATGGTTCTCATTCAGCTTTTTTTTTTTTTTTTTTCATCTGTTGCACAATGCTTGAACTCTTCTACTTTTTCTTTTCTAACTTTGTCTAGCTTCTCTACATCCTCTTGTGAGGTGCCTTTCGGACTTTCTGTAATTGTTTAAGTCTCCGCTTTGGTCTCCATGCCTGTTCTACTTCTTGGGTTTACCATGGAGACTGCACGAAAGCAGAGGTGGTAGCTCTGGTGCATACCTTCTGTCATAGGCGTCCAAGAAGAGTACTGGCCCTCTCACGTAAGAGTCTGGAGCGTTCCCACCACCCTGACCTTGCTAGCTTTAGAAATCAAGATTGAGCATGGTATGTGGTTGCTACCATGATCGAATATGACTCTCAGTTTTGAAGCGAATAGCAGGCTGTCTGAGTGTTTTCAAAATCTGTCTGAGATCAAAGGCGAGTACTGGTTCTATTTCGCTCTCGTATATGTAGACGTTTAGAGACTTGATGTAGACAACATTTAGTCATCTCGGTTGTATAAACAGTCAAGAAATCTGCACTTTCACTGTGCTCTAAGATACACACTCTCAGTTTTTAACCCGATGTGCTGAAAAAGCTATTTATGTCTTATTCAGTCGTTGGTGCAGAAAGTCTCTTATCCTAGCAAATACAGTGTGACTTATCACTGTTTGCTGAAATGTCAGCTCAGGCCTTCTTCCATTCTGTGTCGAAAGTATGGGCATGGTAACACTAAGACAAAAAAAAAAGGTATTTCAAAATGATCTCTCCAACCCCGTCCCAAACTGCACTATTTATGTTCAATGCCACACTAACTGTGCCTGATGATGACACCCCCTTCCCCTGACCATCATAATACCCACAAAATGTGATAGAGGCAGCTACCACTTTCTTAAACAGTCTCAACTCCACCACCCCCCCCCCCCCCTTCCCCCCCTCCTTACCGCTCATTGAAGAGTTTGGTAGCGCAGACTTTAGGAAACAGTACCTTAGATTGTCTATTACTCACTTAGTACGATGCGTTTGGCTCTATGCATCTCTTTTTCACATCTCATTTTACAAACTGAGCATAAGGTAGTCTTACTTCTACGAAGTACTAAATTTGCCGGGATTGTACATTTAACTCCATGTATATCTCCTATCTGCAATTATCATGAAACCCAGATACTTAATTCATTTACTCGCTTCAGACTAGTTACAAATTCTCCTTACTACAACTTCTAACTACACCACTACACACACAAGCTTCAGTTTTTCACTGTATTAAATCACCACACACAGAGGCTATTATCACTCACTTTATCAGGACAAGTATGTGCTATAATTGTCGACTCTTATCACCACAAGTCTAGGCTGCAATTTTCCACGATATCAACATACGTGCAGAAAATAGGACATCATTGTATCTCAAGCCATCAAACAAATGAAACAGCATCATCACAGATCTAATCTCTACACATGACTGCACACCCGAGGAGCTGTCCTTACCGCAGCAAGACCAAGAATGAACCGTACAGCGTAAGCCAAGTACACATGAGTTCTGGCACTGATTGGCGTCACAATGGCACAGATGGCACTGATCAACATGCAGACATTCCATAGTTGCTTCCCTCCATATCGTGATGCCATCCAACCACCTGATTTGTTCAGAACATAGATACACAATATCATTTATATTAATCCAGCTGCTAAAACAAAAACAAACATATTAATAACCAGATTTAGGCATTTATGGAAAGGAAACCAAACAAATCCTTTATGGATTTTCAGTTGTATACAGAATTATGTATGCATTCACTGCTGGTGCTTTCAGAGTTATCGTTTAAAACTGAAATAAATACAGCATTGTCGAAAACAAAGGCAAACACCACAGAAAACATTAGGGAACTGCAACAAGAACATGCTTTCCTTCGAAAGGAGCTGAAGGTTAACAAATACTTCAGTTGCAATGCCACTAATATCATTCGAAGAAGGCACACAGATATAAATACGACGAGTTCAGTGAAAAGGAATGCGATTATTCAACTTTCTTCTTATGGCGATCGAGATGCTTTCACTATACACTAGAAAGTGGCACTGGTTACCCAGGGAAATAACCGCCATAGTGCAGCAGATGTGAGTGCTGATCACACACAACTTTATCATGAGCAGGGTCTAAAAATCATCGCGAAGCGTAACCCTCTTTGTTATCTGTTATTTTGCAGATATATGTAATGTCTTTTATAATAGTATGTGTTGCCCATCATTTCAGTCTTTCACACATATTTTTGATGTCATTCTCTTGTCTAGTATTTTGTTCCATACCGTTGCTTTGTATCTTGCGATTTTCTGCTGAAAGGACCACAAAATGAACTTGTCACTAAGTGATCATGTAACACATACTGCTCTGTATATTTCTGCCCTTCGTTCCCTCACTGTTCATATTTTTTTCATATTTCTGAAAAGACACAAAGCTGCTTCTTTAAAGTCTTTAACATTTCGTTACATCCATACTGGCCTCCTCACAGAAATCCCCGTACACGAATTTTTGAGTAAGAAGAATTTCATTATAATATAATTAGTCAATGTGTAAGGTGTCGCGTGAGCACATCAAAACAATCGCATCTTCACAAAATGCCTCCTAGGTCTAGGTCTGTTCAACACAGACAGACAAACAGACACACACACACACACAGACAAACACACATGCAAACACTGACACTAACTCACACACACATGTGCAAACAATTATCTCTAATGTCAGCTCACACAAACATGTGCAAATAATTATCTCTGATGCTATTTCACACAAACATTTGCAAACAATTATCTCTAATGTCAGCTCACACAAACATGTGCAAACAATTATCTCTGATGTCATCTCACACAAACATGTGCAAACAATTATCTCTGATGTCATCTCACACAAACATGAGCAAACAATTATCTCTAATGTCAGCTCACACAAACATGTGCAAACAATTATCTCTGATGTCATCTCACACACACATGTGCAAACAATTATCTCTGATGCCATCTCACACAAACATGTGCAAACAATTATCTCTGATGCCATCACACATAAACATGTGCAAACGATCTTCTCTGATGCCATCACGCACAATTTGTGCAAACACTTATCTCCTATGGCAGCTCACTTCAACATGTACAAAAACTTATCTCGGATGCCGTCTCACACAAACTTGTGCAAACATGTATCTCTGTTTGCAGCTCACACAAACATGTTAAATCACTTATCTCTGTTGGCAGCTCACACAAACATGTGCAAACACCTATCTCGGATGCTGTCTCAAACAAACATGTGCAAACATCTATCTATCCCTGACGGCAGCTCACACAAACACGTGCAAACACCTATCTCTGATGGCAACACAAACAAACATGTGGAAAACCTTATCTCAGACGCCATCTCACACAAACAGGTGCAAGTACTTATCTCAGATGCCAGCTCACACAAGCATAAGCAAACACTTATCTCAAATGGCAGATTACGCAGTGCAGTCACTGAGTTAACTCACTTGGTATTTGTGAAAAGATGTATCCGTAAAAGTACATGACCAGTAGCTCGGATCTGGTGCGTTTATCCCAGTCAAACTCAGCACGCTGGAAGGTTACAAGACAACATTCGACATACATGTTTACATTACAATAAATATTAGCACCATCAGCAGATATAGTAAAGCCTTGGAACTGTCTATAGGTTGCTTACAATGTATAAACGTTTGTAGCTCCACGATCAGTATTTGTAAACGATACGAATGAACAAATCTTCCCAAATTACAAATATACGACACACAGAATCCAATTTCGCATACACATCTGCAAACTACTGCTAGCTTGTTTAATGTCCCTGCTTTCCTGAAATAAAAAATAAAAAAATAAAAAAATTGTTTGGTCCAAGAACTGTATGATCAGGTCTTAGAAATTTGAAATGAATGATTATACTTTTTGGGGCGAGGTTGTTTAGGAGTCGCGTAGTTCTGTCTGGTATGTGCAGACCTGACTCTAGTTACAAGTGGACTGTCTAGTCCAGTCAAAATAAACTGTACCTAACAGTGCTAAACAAGTCAATCATTACACTTGCATTATTCTGCGTCTTTAACACGCAATTTTTTTTTTTTTTTTTTTAAACCATATTCGTCGTATGAACCTTTAAAAAAAAAAAAAAAACAGTTCAATAAGTCAGCTTTCTTAGTCTCAACAAGAGGGCCCAACCGGTGTTTGATTTAGTTACACACGCACGCACGCACGTAGGAACACACGCATGTTCATATGGGAGCAGACAATAGTAACTATTTAGCCTACAGCCCTTGGAGCAAGAGAATTTGAAGAGCTGGTAAAAGAGTAGCTACCTCATCCCTAAAAAACAAAACTGTAGCTACACAATCCAACAATTAAGAACGAATAATGCTCTGCTGGAAGCCTTCTTCTCTCCCTATTCCCTCGTCGTCTCCTCACTCTCTCTTCATAAACTGCTGAAAAATGTGTCAAGCGCAGAGCACGTGTTCCATGGCTCCGGCGACGATTCCTGTGTATATTTTTTAAATCTATATGCGAAAAAACAGAGTACTGCAGGAAATGACCGGCCACCCTAGTATTTATTGCCTGTCTGCTAGGGAAGGGGCAATGGATGTCCGATAGGAGTCTATACGCCTGGTGTCGCCCCGCATGCCCGCCAGACGTCCAACGTTCACGACCAGCTCACCCGTGGCCATCCAGTTCCTTAGCACGCTGGCCAACCTTGAACTTGGGGGTTTATATTCGGAGTTTGCCGTCTCCTAAACAGACTGATGTCCAAAGCTAACGGGTTCTATCTACCAGGGAAAATGGGGTTATAGCGCCATGACCCGCTAAACAGGCACGTCTCCAAGCATACGAGGTATTTTATAATGATTTCAGATCCCACCCTTGGGGGATGACCACCCCAGCTTTACACAGGAGCCAGCATACATTAGTGTCGCAACAATGTGTGTATAACACGGTACCAGGACGCGGTGCATGTGTTTAGTTATTAATTTTTGTTTTATTGGGTCTTTGACTTATGTACGGCCCAGTTCCGTATTTTTCTTACTGCGTCTTTTTTTTTAAAAATGATTCTAAGCAAAGGGTAATTTTCGCTGCCACCGACTCACTTGTATGTGGGGCTAGACCAACATTATTATTGATCACACAGCGTTCGGTTGGTTATACAATCAACATCATCCCAGCCGCCTGCCCTTAGCATGACATTTTCCTGTGAACACTTTTGACTCTATCTGGGCGCCAGGGTCAGTTAAAAAAAAAAAATAGCAATTATCTCGATGCGGATCGGAATTAAGAATCTTGAGCCACCCACTGCAAGCTATAAGGTTAGATTGACATGGTATACACACTGTCACTGGGTTCATTTATTGTCAATGCAATTTTGTATACAAATAATATATATGTAATAATGTAACAGCTGAAACTCTATGTGTGCAAACACGACAAATCATCACCTCATTAGAAACTGATCGAGCCCGATCACCAGCGCTCTCGCCGCAAGAACTGCTGCTGATATTGGCAGCTGTGACATTGGCCGACAGTGTCAGGTTGGACTGGCCCTCGTCGCTGCGCACCATGCACATGATGGCCACAGAGAGGTTCACTCTCAGCGTGTACACAAACAGGTTTCCAAGGAAGGCCATAAACACCAGAACAAACCTTTGAGAACAGAAGAACGGAGCTGCGGAGTAGAGGAAATATTTATGTTAATAACACGTTGCCTGAATGTCTGCTATTTGCAACAGTGCACAATTGTTTCTACCCCCCATCCCCCCCCCCCTTTTTCCCGAAATTTCTCCGTCTTCCACACTAGTTTTATCAATTATTTATTTTTACATGTAATACATCACTACTTTCTTTTGTAGGTTCAGCAGCAATTCAGTTGCTTTATTGTGTTTAAGCCGTATTATGACATACATTACTTCTTTAAAATCAGGCTCTACAAGATATGGTTTACAAGTTAGTATATCTTTCTGTGGTAAGTATTTAGTGGAGATTCACAATTTAACAATTCAATAAAGTATTCCTTCCATATTTTACATATTTATTCATTTTTATTTATCATATTCCCACTGTGATATTTTGAGCTATGCATATATGCTGTGTTGATGCCCACGTTTTACAACCTTCAGTTCTTTAAAAACTTTCTTGATTCATTGTTCTGATAGCTTTCATATCCATGGCAATGTTGTTTACGTATTCTCGCTTTTGCTGCCTTACTACTTTTATAGCTTCTTTAGTCTGTTCTATAGTTTTCTTCATTTCGTATGTTACTATTATCATTTAACCACATCTACCTGCCATGGTTTTTCTTACTGGCTGCTTCTTCATCTTCTTCTTTGCGTTCGGTTTTGTATGCTCAGATCAGACCATCAGGTGGTTTGCCTCTATGAACTCTCATGTTAGCAGCAGGTCCTTCGTGGTTCCCTATAGCTGTCTCTGCACACATGACTCTTGGGGCCAGATGTCTTTCCGAAGTTGTAGGGCAGGTCTGCAGAATGTGCTCAGGTGTTTGTGGTCCTGTTTGACAGGCACACTGTGGGGACTGTAAAATCTTTTTTTTTTAATGCATGCGGTAGTTGAGTCTGCAATGTCCTGTTTGTAGACGGAAAATTCTTGTACGTTGCTTTCTTTCCAGTCTGCTGGTGTGGTCTTGTGGATGTTTACTGTTAGTTTGTTCTCTCCACAATTCCTTTTATTAATCTTTGATAAGTGTTCTGATTTCTGGTAATGACAATGAATGGGCATGTTGTTTCTCCTTTGTTCTATTTGTTCAAGTCTGTCTGCTAACTAATTTCCTGGTATACCTCAGTGATCTGGGATCAACTGGAAACGATTTGATTGTTTTCTGTTAAATCAGTTTAGCTGGCTGATCAGTTCTCTCTCCATGTTATCTCGTGGATCCCTCTGAGTCGCCTGGAGGACTGACATACAAAAACAAAAAGAACAATTTTTATTTTTTTAGTGTTTCTTGCCTCAAGAACTTTGGCTGAAGAAATAATTGCTTGTTGCTAAGCCCTGAAACTTGTCGAGAGTCTACCGGAGACGCATGACGTTTCTACTGTGGTACCATCTTGCAGCATGATGACCGATCCAGCTCCACTGGTTTTTTTTTTTTTTTTGCTCCCTCTAATGATTCATCGGTGTACATGTGTATCCGTTCGGGTTTTGGATAACAGTTGTAGATATGTTCACGGGTCTTTGCATGCACTACTAGCTCACATTCTTCAGCCTTTCTATCTATGCCTAGAATTGTTGTTGTGACTGTATAGTTAGGCTGTAGGTCTATACTGTACGCCTGGATTATTTCCCATTTTGTCGGATCTTTAGAAAAGATGTCAGTTTTGTGTGTGTAGTAAGTACAGTTTTTAAATTTGGCGGAAGCTTTGTCTTCTTTGTCGTTGTAATAAAAAAAAGTTATTTGCTATTCTGTGCATGGGGTTGTTGTTCATGCGTTAAAATTGTCTGTTAGGGTAAGCACCTTTTCTTTCCTTCGAAGGCTGAAGCTCTGAAGGCCAGAAGTTGCTTCGAGCTCATGAAATGGTGTGCTTCTCATACCAGCAGTGATGATTCTCAGACCAGTGATCTGTATTTTGTATTTAAGTAAGGGTAGATTCATTCTGGGGGTTGGTTACCTGATTCTGTAAAAAAAAAAAAAAGTAGCAACTAAAACCAACCAAAAATGTAAGAGTTTTTTTGTGTGTTTGTTTTTCATGTAATGTAAGCTATTTCATTATATCCAAGTCTCACTCTATTCGATTTCTCTTTGATAATGTTTACTTGAAACGCAACTCTTCAGTCATTTCTACAGCTTCTATTGTATGTTCAAATTATTATTTATTCAGATTGGGTTATTAATAATTGTAGGTAGCACGTTACCTTATGTTATTCTGTCGCAGTAAACGTCACTGCACATTGACCATTCCCGTGCATGCAAAGTCATCCGATGCAGTGGCCACCACTCCAAGGCGTGGCAGGCTCCTTGCTTTGCAATGCACTTGGTCATTCTATGTCGGAGCTAATTTTATGTCCTTCAGGTGTTAATGCCTCTTTATTTTCTGTTCAACTTAAATGCCTCAGTTACTTCCAGAATGCGTTAGTGGACATCAATTTTGCTTGCCCCAAAGCTTTGTCAAAAATGCTTACAATAGAGCCCATGAAGTCATGATTTTCCTGAACTGTCCTTATCAGAAGTCACTTGAAGAGACCCTTGACACAGTGGTTTAGTCTGAATTTAAAAAAAATAATTAAGACTGACATGCTAACCTAGGTACATAGGTATTTAGTTTGTTCCCTCCATGACTAGTTTATAGAACTAACACATCAAGGATGAGAATCAAACAGCCACAAATCCCGAAAGCCAATTTCAACATTATATTAGTTATACTCGGACCCTGACGGTTACATAGGAAGTTTAAGTTATCACCCGCCCGGGACTATATTAGAGAAGTCACCTTAATCATCAAACTTCTGTTTCTACATATATATATATATATATATATATATATATATATATATAATATATATATATATATATATATATATATATGTAAATATATATACGCGTGTGTTTGTCTCTCTCTCTCTCTCTCTCTCTCTCTCTCTCTCTCTCTCTCTCTCTCTCTCTCTCTCTCTCTCTCTCTCTCTGTGTGTGTGTGGAAGTGACTAGAAAATGTGCGGAAATTCACCACAAAGTATTTATTACAGCAGGGCTTAAAACAATTCCTAAAATTAAAAAGGGACGTTACTGTGTACCGTTGCGTACAACAACAACACCCCCCCCCCACCCGCCAAACACGCACATACACACACACACTCACATTTACAAATTCACATCACACAGACACACCCTCACACCCACGCACAGCACACACTCACACACACGTAACACGCACATACACTCATTTTATATAAACATATATTGAGGGTGAAGCCAGGATGAGGGTCAACGCGAGGGCCAGTCCTTACGTCCCTCCGATGCACTTCCTCATGTCTGGGCAGGTTTCTAAAGGTAAATTCAACAATGTCGCATCTGCTCCATCGATACTTGACTGTGCTAGGGACTGGCTACTGGCTTTGGTTCGAGAAATATCCCGAGATAAACCGAAAGGCTGGCCTGAGACCTAACATGGTTCTGCATTTTGCGGCAAAACGCCAGCTTATCCTAACAGAGATCAGTAGCACGCCGTACGAGTCGCAGATAGATGGAAATCACCAGTACAAGCTCGAAAAGTACAGTGGATTGTTGGACAGTTTGAAGAGCAATTAGGCGTACACAGTAATACTCTTCGCCGTCGAGGTAGGGGCATTAGGGTTATCAAACCGTCCACAGTTTTCACAATTCCAGATTAAGCCACACATGCTGATTAATGCCAGAGTGCACACAATATTGCCAACTTGTTCTAGCAACTCAGACGGTACTCACAGAAAATCAAAAGATGACAGTGGTAATACAATATTATGATGTCATAGCAACCGTCTCTGATTGACCCAGGATTTCAACTACATGTCATCTATGCTCAGGTGTGCTGCCACCAAGAAATATGTGGGGGATTGGGTTCTCAGTCACATTTTAATTTTCAAGAATCTAGGCTCAGGCGATATTAAAGTGTATAATAATATTGTGTTGAGTAGCAAATGAAGTCCTGTCTTGAAGTAGTAGTAAATGTTTACATTAAAAAAAATGTACAACAGAAAGTCTCTACACGATTAGGAAGCCTGCTTAGACACCAACCAAACTAACTAGCGGGTGAGCGCTCAGTGAAGAATTATTCAGGGGGCCTCAATGTGCCAGGTGTATGCGCTTATGTGTTTTCTGTGTTGTCAGCAATATTTACTGTGCCGACAATCTCACATGACATTGTATACAAGAAGTCTACAATCATAAAACAGATACAATTTAACTAGATGAGAAACAATGCACCAGTACAATGTCATGATGTTCTTGTCTTTAGAAACCCTTACCTTTCACTGCGTCGTCCATATCCGAGTGACGTCAACGGTCCAGACTTTGCCCCTAAGTTATGAACCTCTCAAATATAAGCTTACAGATGTCAGTTTCGTTTACATTATTTCAGAATCAGAAAAGTGCAAGCTGCCTGCTCAATTATCACCAGCAGATATACTTTGTCAGTCAACAATTTGCTACGGTCCATCACCAACAGGCAAGTTTCCTAATTTATAATTATGAACAGCTGAATGTATGTCTTGTTTCACACTACTAGTTTTCCCAGTAGTTTATCTCCCCTTGACTGACTGACTTTCTACCCCACCAGGACATCACACAAGCCATAAACACCCGATGACACAATGTGCCACCATGTGGGTGAGGATCACCGTGGAGAGGTCCCAGAAACCGCGATCAGCCTTCAACCATTTTTATGGCCAGGCTAAATTGCGGCCCCAGAACAAATTGTAAAAGAATGACTTGCTTAAAGAGTGACGTTTCGCATAACGAGTGGTGAGGAGAGGGAAAGTCCCGAATTGTGCGCATGTTACATCAGTCTGTGTTGAGCACTCGTTCCAGTAGCATCGTAGTGTCGCTTGTGATCACATATTTTCTCAAACTTGTGTTATACTATGATATATGTACATGAATCCTCCAGGCCTACAAAATGACCTCCCTGAAGAATATAAGTTCATCAAGATCCAGTTCTGCCTCCCAACACCACCACCCCGTTA